CAAACTAAGTAATTCATATTATAATCAGTACGCTGAATTAGATGGGCCGGTGGTGTATGCACAGACCAATGGAACTAGAGTGCTAGAGTGGAGGCACGCGTAGTGTAAGACACCTGTACGTAAATAGACGAATGATTTAAGAAACGTATCGGATAGCGGACGGATCCGGGCTGTTTAGGATTGGGACAGTTGGCGCCCTTTGGGGAAGGTCTTCGTTCATTAGTAGATGACGATGACGTGAAAATGAAAGAACTGTGATGATTTAGGAGAAGCGATAACCTCACAAAAATACATTACACAATATGATAATACGATCATAATTCTACTCGGTGTGGGACGTCTAACTGTTTCGTATAATCCTTATCTGCCTACAAAATATCGGTATGTAAATCATTATACGCGAATTTGACTTGTCTGCCATAAAGACATGGGTTAAAACAGCCTTCCCGCAGGGGTGTTGCAGTGAATGCGCAAGCGATCCTGCACACCCCATTGCACTGCGGCGACGGGTTCCGCTGTGGGTTTTAGTGAGTAGGAGTCTCACAGTACCCTACCCATTGACGGCCGGTAGGGTCCCCATGATGGGTTTCCCCAGCGAAAACAAAAAAAAAAAAAAAAATGGGTTAAAACAGCCTGTTTGAATGAAATATGAAAATCCACGCTATGTAAAATGACACTGGCAAAGAAACTTTACCGCACAGTGAAAATCCTACAAACCACAAGTTTGTAAGGCTTGCCCCATTAAATATAACTTATTATTGTCTATTTGTACTCCATGCTGTAATTACAGAACGTGTAAGTATAGGTATATATATTAGAAAGTGGTTGTTACAATGTATTTCGTTTATTATTTCCTACCCTTCAGTTATGTAACATGAGCATTATTTGGTAACTTTACGCTATGAACATAATGACACAGGGTAGTTTATAAGTCGCCATTTATTTTAGCACTAGCATTGCCCGCGGCTCCGCTCGCGTTCAGATGACCAAAAACCAAATTATTACGATTTATGTACATATTAGTATACTCTACATTGCAGTTTTTGTATTTTTTCTCAGAAATGGGATATTTTCTCGCGGTAAAAAGTAGCTTATATGTTGACCCGGATAACCAGCTATCGCCATACCAAGTTTTATCGAAATTCCTCCAGTGGTGTTTCTGTGATGCGGTAACAGACAGACAGACAAAAATTCAAAAAACTATAGATTCTGGTCTCTGTATCGATAATAATGTTTATTTCAATAAGATTTTCCAAAAAATATTTAATGTGCAGGTTCGGCTTAGTTACAATTTTATTATATGTATAGATTTGCTTCTTTGGTTGATTTGTACTAACTACTCGTATATAGGTTTAAAGGCTATTTTTATAATACTTTCTTAATACTTTCTTAATACTATTTAAAAATGGCTATTTTTATACTTTATTTAAACTTTGTATTACGTGTAGGAATTAATTTGAGTGTGTATAACAGAGCAGACCTAATTGTTAAATATCGTTTTATAATTTGCTAGTGATTGCGATATAGAACACCGTTTCAGCACCTGTCATCAACGAAAGTATTGAACACCTATGGGTCATTTACAACTTCGGAAAAAGTTTTAACATTTAATAAATAAAGATTTTTTGCGGAACTGCATTTTTTTGAATATAACACAATAAATGAAAATATTTATCTATCATTAAATGATCTGGAGTATCTTCTATCAAAATATATTTTATGGCTTCGTTAAAAAAGTTTACAAGGTGAATACGAGTATACGGAACACAATATTTCTACTCCTCATCCCTATATACTCGTACCTTTGTAGGTACATACATATATTAGTTAGCATGAAAAACAAAAAAAAAATAATAATTAAAAATATATAAGTATCAAAATCGTTATTTAAATTAACTCATCATTCAAATTTTATCAATTTTATGTTAGCTTTTTTGAGCTTTAATTACGATTTATCAATAATTAAAACCCAACAACATAAATTGGATTATAAAAACAATATAATTTAAATATCTCTTAATTTTTTTTAAACATTAAAGGAATATAGGTATCATATAAAGTATTGGTACGATGTGTAGCTTAGCTTAATTAATTATTACAGCAAAAGTTTTTACAAGTGAAAATCATCAGGTGCTTTTTAATATTTTAAGCGTCTATAAGGAAAAATAGTTATAGAAATATAAAGAAATACTTATATAATAATAACAATAATAAATATTACTTAAAATATTATAAACCATAATCGAATCATAATTTATGTAGATAACTCATATATTATATAAATAATCTCATACCAACTAATATTAAATTTTATTGTAAGTGCTCTATTAATTAAATTAAGATCGGAAATGTAAACTTATCGATTTCCTAGTCTAGTCATCGGTAACACTATTCGAGGTCGACGACATGCGTTGACAACTGAGCCTTTAACTAAAAAATCTTATTTTTTATTAACAGGTGACGAAATCGAAAATGATTTTGAACTATCGTATGGCACCAAATTGGTGATTTAAAAACATATTATAATGGCCTTTTAGTTTTACGTCAATATCATTTACAAACAGGTTTACATTAATTGTTATAATTATATATATGTTGCGTAAGGTCGGTGAAATGATGACTTTCAAGTAGGTATATTAAAGGCATATTTTACAAAAAAAAAGTTATTGCGAGTGTACCTTAGGAGAACGAATTATGCTATTGTAGATTTCTCTGTAGGCCTTAACCTACAATTTTCTAGTACATAGACATGTAAATTTCTAAGAACGACTCTATAGAACCAGTTATTGTGTTTTCTCGTGGAAATGAAAGATTTCCTGTAATAAAAGGTATCCTAAATGTTGTCCCAAGTAATAAGTTATCAATACACAAAATTTAGTTAAAATCGGTTCAGTATTTTTTGCTTGAAACGCGCACATCGATTTCGCCAAGTTACTGCTTTACTCTATGTATAGATTAACATGAATAAGTTGGAATGGATCTTCCTAGCAACAGCTTAAACTATAACCGCCGGTACCGAAATAGGCATAATAGGCATCTCAATTGACGCCTCTTGAGCCGGATAAGTATTGTGTGGAGGAAATTGTTATTTAATGGTTATTTATTTGATAAGCTATTTATTAATCTCAAATATGTTAGCGGTATTTTTTGATTGTTCCCACTCTCTTTACTTGAAGGATGGTAGGTAGGTGTTGGCTCGTCTCAGACGAGACTAAGCGCGTACGTTTTTTTTGTTATGTGTACAATATTTCAACTAACAAAGATAAATTATAAATTAAGCTCTTTTTTATTAGAAAGTTTTAAAGTTTTGTATTAGTTATTAATTAGGTATAGGTATATATATTATAACATAAAAACTTTTTAAAAAAAAATAATAACCGACTTCAAACAAAAGCACTAAAAAGTAAAAAATAACTGATTGGTAGTTTTCATTTACTATACATACCTAATCAAATATTTTCGAAGTCGGTGTGCTTTGCTTTGTATGGGCTGGCACCGATTTCGAAAATATTTGATTAGGTATGTATAGTAAATGAAAACTACCAATCAGTTATTTTTTACTTTTTAGTGCTTTTGTTTGAAGTCGGTTTTAATTTTTTTGTTAAAAAGTTTTTATTTTTCCCTTTTTAGTGTAGACAGTAGTAGCAAAGTAAGGATTCTAACGTGTTAGGCTTGTCAAATCAAACAAAATAAGCCCAAACTCAAAATATCTACTATTAGCCGTTGAAGAGTTCCACCTATCCACCTTCTGGCCTTGCCATCAGATCAGGTCAACAACACCGAACCACTGTACTATCAATGGAAATAGAAATACTTGCAAAGTTTCAAGTCAATATGACAATTAGAAGTAGGTTAAATTCATCATTAGTTGTTTTTCCACCCTTAGGGGTGGTATTTTTTTTGAAATTTAAATGGGACCAATCTGGAAGTATACCCTTTCAAACAAAACAAAAATTGTCCAAATCGGTTAATAAATGACGGAGTTCTGAGGTAACAAACAAAAAAAAAAAACATACAGTCGAATTGAGAACCTCCTCCTTTTTGAAGTCGGTTGAAAATTCTTTAGTTTTCAATGGATTAATTTAAAAACATATTTTAATCTCCTTGTACGAGTATTTGTGGTTGCAAAAAAACGAGTGTCTTGTTTAGTGGTAACTACATACTACTATATAGACATACTCATGACAGTTGGTAGGAAAAAGCTTTTGTTGTATAGAGTATATGCGGTGAACCCCCCAACGTGCGTTCACCTTGTCGTGGTGGGGAGGGGGAGCGGGGGGGGGCTCATTAACGTCCGTACTCGATTTTCGAGCCGGTGTGTCCCACATGACCACCTGTATTACAGGTGGTATGCGTAAATGCATTACCTAACATTCAAAAAAAGGGTATATTCGGTGAAGGCTAAGAAAGTTCTAGCGAAGGTAAAACTTGTAAACAAAAATATTTCGACATGTATTATGTAAATATGCAACTTCAAGGCTTCCGCAGGGCATTATTGATATTATGTTCATATCTTAATTGCTCATTATATTAAAATGTCGTGCTTAAGGAACTTTGTTTTTAATACATTTTAAACTAGCGGATTACCCTCGCTTCACTCGGGTTCGCCTCTAGAAGAAGAAAAATAAATCTATCGCACGGAAACCGTACATTTTTCCGGGATATAAAGTAGCCTGTGTGTTATTCTGATATATGATCTATATTATTGTAAAGTTTCATTAGAAAGAGTAACAAACATCCATACAGCTACGCATCCAGACATCCATACACTCTCACAAGCTTCCGCATTTATAATATTAGTAGAATTGGTAGGATTTTGCAACAATATCAGTCTATCAGCATCTTCACTCTGAGGCTTAGTAATAAAAACGTAATAAAAAACCGACATTTTCGTGCACACATTATCTTTAAATATTTTCATTAAAAAATATATTAAAATAAATATTTATATTTTATACATATAATATTTTGTTCACAGTGCCAAATGACGTAACCCTAAAATGAAGGATCTCGGTTTGAAAATACCTACGCGCAATGTCCTAACTGGCGCGGTGGTTAACTGGGATGATGACGAAATGGGGGGCCTTGGTGACTCTCCAGAGAACCTGACGCTGTCTTGGAAAGATCTATCAGTTTACAGAAGAAAAAAACATCAAACTAGTATTTGGAGATCACCGACGTATGAAGAAGTTAAAGTGTTACATGGAGGTAGGTACTTAAACGTTAACTTCAATTTATTAAAACAAAAATAATTGAACTTTGTAACTCAAGGCAGTTAAAGATCCTCCTCCAGGTCAGTTAAAGATTTCCACATTTCCTTGCATCTCCATAAAATTGACATCCAACATAAACTATCTCGATTCTTTAAAAAAAACTATCTTTCCAGATTTTTCTAAAATGTAAAAAATTAAATAATTAAAAATTCTATTTTTCCTAAAATGTCAAATATTCGCGTAAATTCAGAAAATATTATCTCGATACTAATGAAGAGTGGATAACACATTGTTACTGTCATTTTTCAAGTCTACTTTGCACATATCAAGTTATTACAAAATTTCTATGAATATTTCTCTGAGTGTTAATAATACGTCGAATAATACAGACATATAAATGATTCTATACAAAATAGAAGCACTATTTCCCATCAAATGGTACGGCACTCTAAAACGTACCTGTAACTTTAATGATAAACATTTATCAATATCTATCTATAAAATTTCTATAAACAAGCACACATAAACTGTTATGTATGTTATAATTATAATTTATGCTAATTCACTTTAAACCACATAAAACTATTATTATTTTATTATAGTTACAGTCCACTGGTTAATTATATTTAATTTACGTAAACGATAATAGAGCTAGAATAATAATTATCTAGATAGATAGAATAGAACATAAATAATTTGTTGGAGTTCGAAAAGGTAATCATTTTAAATACGAGTGATATACCCTTTTCCCAACAAGCAGTTAGGGAAACCATCTAGTTAACTTTGCTCGGGTTTACCTCTAGAAAGACAAAAACAAATCTATCTGTACCGTAACCATATATTTTTCTGGGATAAAAAGTAGCCTATGTGTTATTCCAGACTATATTCTATCCCTGTGCCATGTTTCATCCAGATCCGTTCAGGCGTTCCTGCGTGAAAGAGTAACAAACATCCATACATACTCACAAACTTTCACATTTATAATATTTATACAGACTAGCGACTTACCCTCACTTTGCTCGAGTGCGTCCCTAGCAGGTAATTCGAATTTTATGTATGTAATATGAAACTGTTAAAAACCCTTAATATTCCCGGAATAAAACATACCCTACTCGTATAAGCAGTCCTTTTTTATTTTATTTTTATGGAATAGATAAACTATATATTATACATAAGTATGATGAGATGTTGTGGGTTGTTTTATAACGTGTTTTCGCGTGAGCGTGAGATAATCTCCAGCGGTAAAAAGTAGCCTATGTCACTCTCTAGCCTCGAACTACAAAAAATCACGCCACTCCGTCACTCTGTTCCGTCGTGAAAGAAGGGCAACCAAACAAACAAACAAAAAGACTTTCTTATTTATAATATAGTATGGATTGATATAATGTTACTAAAGAATTATCACACATGTACTATGTAATGTCGATAATGATCGAAGCAGTCCTTTTCTCATTAACCTAAATGCGAATATTTGTACATATGTATATATGTGTGTGTGTGTGTATTTTTGTGACTCCTTTACGCTGTAACTGCTTGACAATGGATGAAATTTAGTACACAGATAGACTAACATTTAGCATAGCATTAGATGTCATCTGTATGTTATTGTAAATAAAAAGACACCTAGTGTCTAGAAGCGCATCTGAGAAAAATGAAGAAAAATCACTAGTTAAATATATGTAATATGTGAATATATAACACATATTGATATATTTATTACAAATGTGTAATATAGCTATTAAAATAATATTTATAGAGATATAAACTTATTGAAAAACGGCTAAGTAGTTAAGATTGTTACGCAGATGGAAGGTAAATGGGCATTTTGACGGATACTGCCGCCCCGTCGAGTATTTATGTGTTTCCATTTTAAATTTCATAATGATTATGTGAAAAAATTAATACTTAAATACAAATAACCATGGCTTTGTTTGTTTGTAGTAATGTAATAATTAAATGATACTGAATTAGTAGTTTCTATTCAGAGATTCATTGAATATGTAGTACTTCAAAGGTTTGAGAATTAAGAAAATGCTTGTGGTAGAATTGCGACTTACAGCAAATGAACGAATGATTGCTTTGTTGTAGATTTTGCTTTGACGTCAGCTAGCAGAAAATATGTTTTTACTTTTTTTATATCTTGACACCAAGAAATCATAATTATATAGGTAACTAGCGACTCACCCTCTGATTGATTCCCCATACAAACGTTCATCCCCATTTTCACCCCCTTAAGTGATGATTTCCGGGTTAAAAAGTATTCTCTGTCCTTACCAGGGTCTCAAACTATCTTCTTACCAAATTTCATCTAAATCGGTTCATTAGATCCAGAGCATCTTCTACAATGTCACAAACTCACAAAATCACAAACTTTACCTCTATAATATTAGTATAGATATAATACAAAAAATAGCACGACTACGTTTCCGTTAAAAGTTAAATTTTATCAGATTAATCAGAACCTTCTTCTACTATAAAACCTGTTTCTTAAGCTTGAAGGCAGACACACAAAAAATAAAGGACTAAGAATTTTATATACATTCTCAAACTAAGATTCTTAGTAATCAAATACTAAAAACTTCACAAAAAATACCGCTTTTAAAAGCCGAATTTTAAACGGTTCGAGCATGTTAGAAAAGTTAAAATAAGATAAATCTTTAAAATGTTAAAACGATATGTGCTAAGTAGTTAAAATAATCTTACACTGTACTAAAAATTACGTCGATCATACTGTATTCTTATCACAGTACGAAACAACTGTCTGTGCAAAATTGTATTAAGTTTCAAAGGGGATGTTAGTGGATTCGATTCCCACGTAAGCCGATGGCAATATAAAAATAAACAAATTGTGGTGATCGCTTACGCACTAAACCACGATGCCCCGACAGCAGGTCTGCCGAAGCCACACAACCAAGGAGTTGCTCCCACGACCCACTCTGCTATCAGAGAAGTACCAGGAGGAACCCGCATGGTACACCGCTCACCGAAGTGGGCCACCTTCCAGTGTGTCTCTTGCCCGGCACCGCCAGCCCCCTCATGCCCGGCTGGATTGCCGGACGCCAATGAGCTACGACAATGGGAACACACAACGGAAGGGATCATTCTAAAAGTCTTACTTCATGTAAACGCTATACAAAAAATTAAATAAATACTCGTTCTACTTTTTATTTCAACTAGGCATATAGTAAAAATCTGATTTTTGTTCTTATTTCCAGTGAGCGGAGTGGTGTCGTCTGGCAACTTAGTGGCTTTAATGGGTTCAAGGTAAGTTTTGAAGATTAACGTATGCAGGGCCGGCTGTTATAAATTAAATATTTTAAATATTTGAAATGTGGTGAATCTATCGGAATGCCAATTAAATTGAGAGGTATAAATCATTTTATTCCGTGATATCTTCGGTTTTGTATAATTAATTATTATTAAAGACGTTAAAACAATTTATCTAGTAATCTTTTTTATAATTTTACATAGTATTTTTTTTTACATCTTTAAATTTAATTTTGTTTTACTTAAGGATCGTTCTAGTATAAGAACTGCTACACTGCTATGTCGCAATTCACGGCTTCGATTTTTGAATAGGGCAATTATATTAAAAAATAAGATAATTTGACTATTAAAATTACACATATTTGTCTAAAACAATTATATTAACAGCATTGAGTATAAATATGTAGCGTCAAGAGACACAAGAAATTTCTATCTTTTTTTTTCTATTTAGACAGAAAAATAAATATTTCTTATCGTAAGCATAAACTACAGTCAGTAATGTATGCGTAGCATTCTGTTCTACAATGCTGTGAGCTACGTAGTACGCACTAACGTAGACATGCTAATTGTTGCTTAATTATTATAATTGATTATGTTTTTGGTATATAAAAATTACCTATTGAAGGTTATATAAATATAAATTATATTACATAACCAGCGACTCAAATAAAAAAAATATGTTATTTTATTAGTACCGTATATATTTAGTAAAAAGCAGTTATTTTGATATTACAAACAGACACTTCAATTTTATTTATCTTTGAAAATTAAAACTTACAATTTTCCTTCATAGTTGGTACTAGGTGGTACCTGTCAGATACTGACGGAACGTACGAAATGGATATTATGTATATTATGTATACTCTAAAGTTCAAAGAGTATGGAACATTAGATTAAAAAATGAATATAACGATTATTGCTTAGTGAGGTCAAAACGATTACCTTGCTTAAAGCAATGGGATGACGAAACAAGGGCTCAATGTCGAGCTATCAAAAAGACAGAGGAATCTTTCAAATTTATCTCAATTTCTCAGAAAATATACATATGTTGAGAATTAATTAAGTAATTTGTTACGAAAAGTATCTCTGATAGTTAAATGTCTTGTTTAAAGATTTAATATTACATTTTTTAAAGAAAATGCTATAAATATGTGTATAGCTATGTTTATTCTATACATAAAAAGCCAATATTTATTTATAATACATCTATACAATGATAATATACAAAAAAATAAAGATGATGAAGGTTCCTACCAGTCTAAGTATAGAAAATCTAAAAAAGTAAACAAATATTTACATATAAAATAATTATCTTTAAGCACCTTTTACATTCATCTATATTGTAAGAAAATTATTTATAACTCGCAGTAATAAGTATCCTATATATTGACCCGGATAACCACCTATCATCATATCAAATTTCATCAAAATCTGTCCAGTGGTTTCTTCGTGACGCGTTCCCAAACAGACCGACAGACAGACAAAAATTCTAAAAACTATAGATTCGTCCTCTGTATCGATAATAATGACTATTTCAATAATATTTTCCCAAAAATATTTAATGTACAAGTTGGACACACTACACATACAGTTACAACTTTATTATATGTACCTATAGATTTTATGAAAACTAATTTATCCTTAGTGGAGCCGGCAAAACAACACTTCTAGCGGCAATCAGTAGACGAGACAAAAGCGCAATGTCTGGTTACTTAATGTTGAATGGCCGACTCGCTGGAGCAGACTTGATAGCTCGTATATCAGGATTTGTACCACAAGAAGACCTTTCAATTGATGACCTGACAGTGGCTGAGCATATGGAGTTTATGGTGAGTAAAAATGGTAATATTTACATGGTACATTACGTATAAGCTTTTGCCGCGACTCCGGTTGCGTTGTTATTAGTACCTACATATTATGTAGTTTATAATTAACCATTGAGTTAATCTAGGACGTAAGCTGTTATAATACAAAGTAAAGTAAAAAACATAATAATAAATATTAAATAGAGAAGAATAAAAATTCTCATGTCATAGATACAAACATTTATTCATTTTTATAGTTTAAAAAAAATGTAATTTCTGTTTACATTGGTAGGTCTTATTTGGCCCAACCTGAATAAAGTAAGAATATACTTATGTTAAGACTAGCGACTGACCCTCGCTTCGTTCGGGTTTGTCCCTAGGTTGATTCCCCATACAAACTTTCATCCCCATTTTCACCCCCATAAGGAATGATTTCCGGAATAAAAAGTATTTCATGTCCTTTCCAGGGTCTCAAACTATATTTTTACCAAATTTCATCTAAATCAGTTCAGTAGATCTAGAGATTACCCCCTACAACGTCAAAAACTTACAAACTCACAAACTTTGCCTCTATAATATTAGTATATATAGTAGTTTAAAACTAATACATCGTACTACCATCTTGATATTTTCATATTTTACTTCACAATTACATTTAAATATTTAACTAGTGTAAAATTGTTTTCGAAGAAACGTGGTAAGTTAATAACAAAATACTACACGACATAACTACATAATTATAGGCATACAAATAGCGTCCAGTTTCAAGCCTAGGACATTACATTTCAACCGGTTTCGTTATTGTATGTCATATTCCTATGCAATATATTATATTTTTGCTTTATTATAATTCTTATAAGAATACATTAATGTAACTAAATGTACAGTTAAAAGTAAATTAAAACCCATATTACATTGGGTATATGTATATATAAATGCCCAAATATAACAATATTTTGTCTCGAGCAAGACTTGAATCCGTGATCTCCGACATAGAAAGAATTACTTTCACTACACTAAATGTATACTACCAAAAGGACACACAATGTAAAAACGTTTTTTTGGCTTCTAATCTCAATACAACGACCCCCGGGCCCGCCGCATTGTTTCAAAACTACATATTTTAATATAACGAGCCAATTATTATTTGTGTGGAATATAGTTATTTGTTACTTAGCCACATTGTTAACATTTTAGTCAGCCTTAAGGTGAATTCTTCTTTTAGCCAGTTCTTCTCCGGTGGCATTTACCTTAAAAAGATTTGACTCAGTTAAAGCTCTTCGTTTGATAATCGGATGCATAAAAATTAGATTATATGCCCGACTATTGTCGGTTTTTACGAATATCCACTTTTTTATTTTCCAATGTAAAATAAGTGATTTTTAGGTTCAGGCGTTTCTATATGGAAAAAAAATAACGTACCGAGCAGAAAACTTATTCTTTTAGATCCCAATGATTTATAAGTTCAAGAGTTTTTATGTGTAAAAACTAAAAAGTGATTTTTAAGTGCAGGTGTTTAAAAAAGGAGTGTAGAAACAATAAAGATAAACGCTTCGGTTTTGCTGTTTAGTCGTTTTTTATTAGTAGTTATTGAGTAGTTCCACTTTCCAGCAGCCAGCTACTGGCTCTATCAGATCAACTCTATGCAAATGATCAAATTGGCATCCCACGTACTTGTATTGATTGGAGAGTACAAAGGTACAAATGGATACTTAAAAATTTCCTTCCAAGATTCGGTGTCAATTTTGATTGACAAGTGAAGTTCTTGCATTTTATAGTTACGTTTTTTTCTTTAGTGGCTTCGCGTTGCGTTAACAGACGCAATACATTCTGAGTGTCACGTGTTGTGAGGAAGACATGAATGACTTCGAGCGGTAATTTTTAAATTTAGCAGCTTTGACGTGGAATTGGTAATATGAATGAATGATCGGTCCACAAGAGTAACCTACAACCATAACAAGATAATTATATAGTTACGTTTTCGATTCTATTGTATTAAAAGTCTAACATATTATGAATTTTACAACTTTAATATTTTTTATTGTATTTAAAATTAAACGTTTCTAAAATAATAAAAATCCTCCTATACTTTATTTCAAAATTAAGCACTTACTATCTACAAAGTATGACAAAACATACCTTAGGTTTCTTATCTTAAGCCTTCATAATGAGATTGTTTCATGAACCCATATTTCTTAATATTTTATTACATTAGCCAGATACGTGTACCTACAAGTAAATTAAAAGAATTTATGGGACAAGATATTTAATTAAAAGCTAACTTATTAGTACTCTAAATAAGTTCCACCTATTCTTTTGTTCATGTTTTCGTGAAATTCATTCTCAAAGAAATCACGACATTGACGACACATTTGACTCAGTTTGTAGAAATCTTACTTGCACAGTGCCAGCGGTCGCGGGTTCGAGTCCCGCTGGGGGCATTCATTTGTGTGATGAGCACGAATGTTTGTACTCCAGTCATGAGTTGTTTATATTGATAATATACATGTAGGTATTTAAAGTTATATACGTGTAGTGTACCTATCAACTATCTGGTATCTATAACACAAGCCTCGTAGCTTATCATAGAACTAGATGGTATTGTGTGTTAATGGCCCAACATATTTATTTATTATTTATTATTATTTATTGTTTTATTCTTCTGTGGTAATTTATAAAGATATTAATAGATATTGATATTAATAGTCATTGTGTAATTAATTTGCTTCACTAAATTCTTTTTTGTGGTTCAAGACCAGCAAACTTAATGGTTCCAAATAAAATTGACACAATTAGATCCGCTACATCGATCATGGGATTAGTTTACGTTTACAATATCGAATTACAAAGTAGATGGGTCGTAGATATTTAAGTCGTCGATTTGCATAATATTATAATACACTTTTTTTTAACAATATTTAATGAACTAGATATAAAATAGAGCTCTAATTGAAATAGTTTTAATTGTAGTTGTCAGACAGAACTTAATGCATTTTACCATCCATACTTCCATCCATTATCAATACTAATATTATAATTGTGAAAGTGTGTTTGTTTGTTTGTTTGTCTTGGCTTGGCGGATTGGCGTGATTTTTTGTGTGGAGATAGTTGAAGGGCTGGAGAGTACTTTTTACCGCGGAAGGTCATCTCATTCCCACGAGAAAACACGTTATAATACAATCCAAAACATATTAATGATCAGAATTGCTTGAAACTTGGTATTAATGCTCTTCAATACAATTAAATGAAGACGTGTTTTAGCATATTTCGAAATTCATCCTTAACGAGTGTAAAATGGGGGATAAAAGTTTATATGAAACCTACCTTTTTAAAGAGATTTTTTTTGTAGTTTTAGCGCGAGCGAAGCTGCGGGTTCTGCTAGTAATATTATAAATGTGAATGTTTCTGAGGATGATTGGATGCATGTTTGTTATTCAATGACGCCAAAACGGCTGAACGGATTTGGATGGGCACAGAGATAGATTAAAGTCTGGAATATTATATAGATTACTTTTTATTCCGGAAAAATATACAGTTCCCGTGGGATAGATTTGTCGCTAGTAATTACTAAATTAGTTTCAGTGGCCCGCTGCTTATCATGGGAATGATCAGGGGCCAAAGGGCCTCCTATGCTTGGGATGTACAGCACCACCTAGCCCTGCAATAACTACGCACTGTATATACTCGTACATACATACATACATACATATGTTTCTGTATTCATGTATTCTATGTTTCGATCGTGGACATAAAATTACTAGAAAGGCCTACATACAGTGTGTGATGTATTTATTTACCTCTCTTTCTTTTTCATACAATGGAAACATATTTATATGTAGAGGACCTGGGCGACCGAGCTTCACTTGGAGTTTTTTGCCAAAAGTACAATTTTCTTTTTAATTTGGGTTAAAAACAAAACAAAGAAAACTTTTATGTTTTAAATGCAGTTTTTGTATTTTTCTAAAAAATACATAACTGTATTGTATTTTCATTCATCATTCATTGTATTTTCCCGCGATAAAAAGTATCCTATATGTTGACCCGGATAATCAGCTATCACCATCCAAATTTCATCAAAATCCCTCCAGTGGTTTTTCTGTGATGCGGTAACAGACAGACAGACAGACAGACAGACAGACAGAATGTTTATTATATCAATAAGATATTCCAAAAAATATTTAATGTACAGATTCGGATTAGTTACAGTTTTATTATATGTATAGATTTATTTACCAAATTTATTATTTTTAATAAATTACCATACTCGTTTTTAAGATTTAAATAGACACATTCTCACGCTCAACGGATGATACTTATGTAAATTCAGAAATATAAACATCCAAGATATAAATTAGATTAAGAATGTGGTAGGATCAAGAAATCCTTCCATTAGCGTAATATATTTTATATTTATCTTTTATACCTACTTAATAAAATCCGCATCGGCAAGTTGTTGAGAAAAATCATTATCGTTAAATCTTCGTTCGAAAAATCGTTGTTAAAATTCAAATTTTCAAATCTTGTTTTGGATAATATCTGTATTAGTGTTTAAGGTAATGATTAATAGAAGGTTTTAACTCGTGCAGGAATCGAACTCACGATCTTTAAGGTAGTACTAACGAAGTAGTACATACATGTAAATTGTAGTAACACGCCAGTTAAATACATGCTTTTTAATAAGGTTATTAAATTTTACTTCGACCGCCTCCAGCTCAAATAAATACCTAATTTGTACACAATTATCATGCAAAAAATGTCTGGCAGGCTGAAAAAAGCAATCTACACTAATTTATTATTTACAGTACAAGTCATGTCCGCGTGGAATTATCTTGAGAATGATTATTTCCAGTGATTCTTTCAAAAAAACAAGGCAGCTCTTTTGCCACCGGTAGATGCCACAAGACGAGATAAGACGAAATGTTAGTTCTTTTAAGATTTTTTTATATTACTCTAATTGGGACAAGATTTCTGTTTCAAACAAATCTAGACTCGCTGTTATTTTTCTTGTAAAAATTAAGTTAAAACGAAGTTCATATTGAAATGTAAGATTTTCACCTATACTTATTAGTATGGTTCGTGACTTTAACTCTATGAAATCGAAAAAAAATCTTTTATGAAACCAAAATTTTTTTTTTCTTAATTTCTGTATATTTATGTACTATGTATATTTATTGTACATGAATGTAAAATATGTAAATGGTGTAGGAATGTTTATTTTAATTGATAAGATTTAGCATATTGCATTTATTTTACTTTGTTGTTTCTTCCAGACACTTTGCATATTGTTATCTCTGTGTATCTTGAATGTATATAAAATTTATATTCATGAGTATATAAACTAAATATACAAGTCTAATTGTATGAATTGTATTGTATTTATCCCTTTTTAACGGGCCTCCCTTCAATACGAGGGGGATCAGGCCATAGTCAACCAAGTGCGGGTTGGCGGACTTCACATGTCTTTCGAAAACTTCTTCTAAGGTTCTCTCAGACATTCAGGTTTCCTCACGATGTTTTCCTTCACCGTAAGGCAAGTAAGTGGTAATCATGTTAGAAATGATTCGTACATGAAAATATCAGAGGTGCGAGACCCGGGATTTGAACTCGCTTCACTCGGTTTCCAAGCGAGCATGTTACCACTGGGCTACCACTGCCTAAAAGTCTAATATCTATATATAAATAGATAAAGACAGTCGGTGCCTTTTCCTGCTCTGTTTGTCAATCGCTTTCTTTTTAACCCCCGACGCAATGACGACGGGGTGTTATAAGTTTGACATGTCTGTGTGTGTGTGTGTCTGTCTCTGGCATCGTAGCTCCCCGAATGGAAGAACCGATTTAGATTTTGTTTTTAGGGTTCCGTATCCAAAGGGTAGGTCCATCCGTCTGTTACCAGGCTGTATCTTATGAACCGTGATAGTTAGACAGTTGAAATTTTCACAGATGATGTGTTTCTGTTGCCGCTATAACAACAAATCCTAAAAAACAGAATAAAATAAATATTTAAGGGAGCTCCCATACAACAGACATGATTTTTTTTGCCCGTTTTTATAGATAATGGTATGGGACGCACTTGGCTTTTTTGTTTGAAAGGTGTATTAGTCGGAAGTGTTCTTAGCTATGTTTGATGAAAATCGGTCCAAGATGGTCGGGGGTATTTTAAATTTTTAATTTATCACTTCTTTTGTTTAGTAGCTTTTGACGATCTTTCGTGTTATCTTAAAAAAACCATATGATTACGGTCCGTTTTGAATAACTGGGCGAATACTAATACAAAAATATGTACATTCATATACAAGTTATTAACCGGAACTGCAGCTTGTAGTCTTCTATTATGTCACCTGATATACATAATGTCATCTGCCTTACTGTGTGAGTGTACGTAAGAGTTCAGAAATCCTGTTGACATTCAGCCACAATAACAAAAAACCGCATATTATGTAGAGATATATAACTCTTCATATCAAGTTATTCTCGCAATATAAGTTGTATCTTAATCATTTTCTATACAGCTTTGTGGTTGAGCGTTAGGTTACTGGCTTGTATCTAATATAATTTAGTCAATTTCTCCCGAGATATTCATATATTTCATTCATTTTTAACCCCCGACGCGAAAAGAGGGGTGTTATAGGTTTGACGTCGATGTCTGTCTATCTGTGTGTGTCTGTGGCATCGTAGCTCTCAAACGGATGGACCGATTTCGATGCGGTTTTTTTCAAAAAGCCAGTTTCCTTGCGGTGGCTCTTAGCTATGTTTGGGTTATATCGGTCCAGCACTGTAAGAGTATCAGCTCTTTTCCAAAATGATGTAAGGCATTTTGGCGTATGATTACTCGATTAAGTGCTTCACGCATGCCAGTGTAAACGTTAAATGATAATATAATATGTTTAGTATACATAAAGACTATGACCTGAAGTAATACATAGGCTAGTTTGATACCTAGGACGCTAACGAGCGAAGCGAGTATGTCATATTTTTGACTGCAATATAACCTCACAAAAGCTTGATCCCTCTCCCTTATAAGCTCCGGAAACTCTAAAATTTCTTATTATTAAATTAAAGTTAAGCCTGTTTTGTATTACGAAACTGTATGCAAATATGTACAAGCACATTATAAACGCCATTCTACGTAGATTTGAAAATAGATGTCACTTGCAATCGCCGCCCTAAAAAACCTTGGAATAGATACCCATAGCATTTGATTTTAAAAAAATCTATACTATAATAAAACAGTAGAGGTCGAATGTCTGTACATAGCAAAAAAATGCTAAAATCCGAGTCAGGAGGATATAAGAAGACAAATAGAACAAATCCAGATTTTTTTCAAATTTTTTGTTTCTCTGTCTGTTTGTACGGGCTAATCTCCGAATCTATTGGACTGATTTAAAATAAATTTTGCATGGTGGTACCTTATATCCCTGGGCAACATCTTAGATACTTTTTATCCCGGAAAATTAAATAGTTCCCGTGGGATAGTTAAAAAACTATAATAACTTATACAACTTATGCACCTTATTTAGTAAAATTTAACATTCTGATACCTTATATTGCTACTCAAACAACAGGTTACTTTTCATCCGTGAAAAATGAACGGTTCCTGTGGGAACTAATAGATCTCTATTAGTGTTTTTCTAGAGGCGAACCCGAGCGAAGCAAGGGTGAGCCGCTAGTAATGAATAAAGTACGTTATTTTGTGTTTTAAGAAACCTGAGCCTATGATTTTATAATTAACATACGGGTCATGGTGTTATTATGTAATAACTTTAGAAAACAACATCAAAAACATGAATAGGATAAAACTAATGTATAATTCAAATGTTATAAAAAACCACTTATATTGTCAACCTTCTATAATAATACATATATACATGTACATATAATTTTATTTAAGTTTTGCTTTATTTTAACTAGGCTCGTCTGATGATGGACAAAAGGGCTACGTCAACTGTAAGATCCAGACGAATAACGCAACTGCTGGGCGATCTAGGTGTAGTGGCTTGCACGAGCACAAAATTAAAAGCTCTCTCTGGAGGAGAGAGGAAAAGAGTAGCTTTAGCTGTTCAGGTAATATTTTATTTTTAAATTTATTGAAATTCTTTAATTTTTCAGCGTAACATTAACTCTATGTACGTACATAAGATTGAGGAAGAAACGAGTGTTTTATGTCTATCTATTTCACCTTTAATTTGATAGTTTATCATATCGCTAAGATATTTTGAACTATATTCAAGACAATATAATTTAAATCCACTAAAATAAACATAATATCAAAGTATTTTTATTAGTTAGTATTATGCTATATATGTGACTATTGACAATCTCTCTTATTCCAAATAGCTTCTCAACGATCCACCAATATTGTTCTGCGATGAGCCAACAACAGGTTTGGACAGCTCAGCAGCAAGTGCAGTAGTGTCTCGTCTTAGAAGATTGGCGATAGGCGGAAAACTGGTCGTCTGTTCCGTTCACCAGCCAGCTTCTGGAGTATTTGAACTGTTCCATCAAGTCGTACTGCTGGCTAATGGTAGAATAGCGTTCCATGGGACGATTGAACAAGCGGACCAGTTCTTCGCTTCGTAAGTATAGCTATTTCCTTAACACAAGTCTTGTATTTATTACTGATTATAATGTTGATCATGTGCCATTATTTATTCTTTAACAAAAGCACAGTGATTATAGAAACTTGTGGATATAACTTTTCTAGAGAATTGAATTGATAGAAATTAGATAGAAACCCCTTGTAGCGTTGTCGATTATTATCTATCAGTACTAGGTCAAAGGGTTTACCTACACATATATAAAATCAAATCAAATATTGTTCATACAAATATACTTTTACAAGTACTTTCGAATCGTCGCTATATATAATATATGATTGTACTTATATATTGTGTCCTAGTGGTATTTAAAATGATAATGTATTTTAAATTTTGAATTCGTATAATAAGATAACCAGTTACATCCAAAAAAGAGATCGTTGAACTCAAAATTAGTCACCCAATTATTTGAATTCAAAAAAATAAATGCAAAATCAAAAGTTTTACGGAATTCAGAATTTCTTATTTACATTCAATCAGGTTTGTTTATAAAAAATTGTGACCTATCAAAAAGCGATTGACCTACATTTTTTTTTCTATTTTATGCGTCACAGAATTTTATATTTTTTAAACATAATCTTGTATTAAATCAATTTTGAGTGAAGCTATATATTTTTTCATAGCCTAAACTACAAATGTCCAGTGGGTTTCAACGCAGCAGAGTATTACGTAACGTTACTTGGTATAGAAATAGAAAAAGAAATGGAAAGTAGGGAGAGAATCCGTCGTATATGTAATGAATATCAAAGATCAGATATCGCAGCGGCTATTGAGAGCAGAGTGGGCGATGTCAAGGACGAAATGGAATATTTTAATGGAACAACAGACGAGAAGGTAAATTTTAGTGCTTTATTTTTTGGACAATAAATAAATATCCTGATCATGTGACATATTGTGCAGATAATTTGTATATATTTTAGCGATAGCGATAGTAGTCATTATATGTTTGAATCTGAGCAGATTTTGTCACCAAATTCCTCTTTTATCTTAGAGGATGAATAGTAAAAATTGCCATAACTTCGTTTTGAATACGTCAAAAATATGAAAGTTGATTTGGCCATGATGCCCTTTTATGGTATTGCCTTTATAAACTCATTATAACTTGGATTTTTGCGATAGGTAATTGGAATATTGAGAAATTTTACCGGTGGTAGGATTCTGTCAAGCCTGAAGAGTCCGACTGGATGGGTATCGCCCCCTTATCTATTTCTTCCGCCAAGCAACAATGATTATATTGTTGTGTTCCGGTTTGATGGATAAGGTAGCCAGCGAAATTACAGGCAAAAGGCATATCATCTTAGCCCTCACAGTGACAACACACCTAAAGTTCTGCATTTTTGTTACATAAAACCTAAGTGCATGAACCGTAGGTGTTATGGGCTTCAAGTATCGCTTTCCATCAGGTGGACTATTTACTCGTTTATCACTGAATACTATAGAAAAATGTAGAAAATTACCTATATACTTACGTATTTACGTTCTTTAGGTACTCATGTATTTATTTACGTATATGCGTACCATTTGAAAACCAATTACATGGACAAAATTAGAATAGAATGGGAAAGACACAAGACAGATTGATTAGTAAAATAAATTTTTGTACAGTATTAGCAAACCAAAAAAGCCGTTCAGAGCCGTTGATCTCTCCGCTTGCTTCAAACATTCCGCAAATAATTTATTTAAACAAGTTATTGTGCACCAATGAATCTAATTTTATTGATTTATCTGAGTATATGCTATGAAATACTAAATACTGTGAACTAACTCAAAATTTAATAAAAACTTTAAAAAAACCGACTTCCAGGCACTAAAATGTAAAAAATAACTAAACGGGGGTTTTCATTTAGAATAGATACCTAATCAGATATTTTCAAAGTTGGTGCCAGCCGACAATATTTTAAGATATGAATATCTAATAGGTAAATATGTATTTTACGTATCGAAATATATTAGATTTGCTTTGCGTCGGCTGGCACCGACTTCGAAAAATATCTGATTAGGTATTCATTCCATTCCATTAGGTATGTTAGTGCCTGGAAGTCGGATTTTTTTTAAGTTTTTATTTTGCCATTTTTAGTGTAGACGTACGTAATAAGCAGGTAATTTAAAAAGAAGAAAGTTTTTTAATAACATATTTGATTAAACAATTTATTAAAAAAAATTATTTATTGTTGATTTTTTAATAAACTGCTCGACCAATTTCGATACAATTTATATGGGACCACCTGGGAAGTATACCCTTTAAAACAAATAATCCAATCTAAATCCAAATTGGTTCAGGCATCTTCGAGTATCGGTGAACATACATAAAAAAAAGATTCCGACGAATTGAGAACCTCCTCCTTTTTGGAAGTCGGTTAAAAATAGCTTAATTATACCTAATCATTTTTTTACAGTTTTCGTCTTAATTTTACATTCTAATTTGTTTGTTTATATATTTTGTTTTAGAATGTGTACTTCGAGCGGTATTTAACTCTGTAAGTAATTTTATATAGTATATTATTTATTAACATCTCTTATATATATTACGATTTGTAGAAACATAGTACAACTTAGTCAATATAATTAATTCATGCGTCATTTAATTAAAATGTTGAAACGTTGATACCTTTTATTTAATATTTTAATCTATACATAAACATGTAAATTAAGCCTACTGTTTACATATTTTTTGAATTATTTATACACCTTTGTATAAAACCCCGAAAACCTTGCAGAGTCAAAGTGAACTACTTCGTTCAATTTTACTGGTTGATGTGGAGAAATATATTATCAATAAAACACAATAAATCTATATGGATTGCAGAATTTCTACTTTTGATGGTAAGAAAAGGCTAAAATCTAATTTATTATTTTTTAACTAATGTTTTTTCTTAACAGTGACTTCTTGTTTATAAAAGTCGCTACAAAGTCATTGTTGAATTTTAGTCAAATACATAGATATGGAATTATCTGAAAACCATCTGCACCCAGCAAAATTGGCATAATAACATATTTGTCGAATTAGAAACGTCCTATATTAAGAGGCGGTATAAAACCTAAAAACAATGTTTTTTTTTTTTAATTTATATTACATAATAGTATAAAGTTGAGTTTTTAACCAAATCTAATTTTTTCTAGTTCGTCGGCCTCGTAATATCCATTCCCTATATGGGTCACTTTAAAGAACTAGACCAAAGGGACATACAAAACGCCGAAGGTCTTTTATATCTGACGATCACTGAGACGATATTTTTGTTTATTTATGCCGTCTTCATCACGTTCCCTAGCGAAGTGCCCATTTTGTTGAGAGAAACTGCCAGCGGCTTATATGCACCGGTGCCTTATTATCTTTCTAAAGTTATATTTTGGGTAAGTTTTACTTTATTTCTTTCTTATTAGCAGTACATGCGGCTTCGCCCCCTTTCAAACTTCCAATCGCTACCAAACTTCAAAAGATCACTCGCTGGGCTTGAATTTGAAAAAAGATTGCCTGAAAATATCATCTAAATAGCACCAGCCGTTTTAGGTCAGTCTAAAGGGAACATACATACACACACATCGATTTTATATAGAAGATACGAAATAAATATTTAACTTCTCGTGAATGTCGAAAAATCTTACAAACGTTTGCATTGCACGCAATTTGTATACGCAACTATTTTTAAGTTTGACTTTTTTGGTGCTGTTTTTTTTAAAAAAAATAAATACATCTATATTATTGCATTAAATTTAATTATACAATTTACTAACCTTAAATTAAAAGCATTTTATTTTTAGTAGGAATGGAGTCCACATTTTTTTATATTTAATCTACAAATATTCCACATACATATTTTATTAATAATATTTAATTAAGAATAATAAATCTAATCAAATTAAGTTGATATATCCATTAAGAATTCATCGATTCTATAATTTAATAGTCTACTTGTCTCAACTGTCGTTTATATTTGTATTAATTTTGTAGAGTCTGTTTTTAACGCCTCTCTGGAGGTGTTATTTAAAATAAATAAATATAAATATGTTGGGACATTAACACACAGCACCATCTAGTTCCATGGTAAGCTACAAGGTATGTGTTATAGGTAACAGATAGTTGATACACTACACATATATAAATACATACATATTATAAATATAAACACCCATGACTAGAGTACAAACATTCGTGCTCATCACACAAATAAAGGCCCCTACATATTATAAATATAAACACCCATGAGTAGAGTACAGACATTCATACACATGACACAAATGAATGCCCTCAGCGGGATTTGAACCTGTGACCACTGGCGCAGCAAGTAGGGTCACTACAAACTGAGCCAAACGTGTCGTCAAACACATTAAACAATTAGATCAAACAATCTTGCTATATTTTATAGCCTAATTATTTAGTAGAATTACAAACATCCCTCTATGACCCTTGGGAGCGGAAAAATTATATATAAATTAATTAATTAATAAACAGGCGAAGTCACAGGCTTTAGCTATATTTCATAACCCTCTTAACCTAATGTCATGCAATCACTTCATGCGTTAAGTTTCCGTTCACTACGATATTCATTCTGTAGTGTACTTTGATATAGCTTTACCTAAATAAATGGATATTCATTATTTCCAGTTTAATATTGATAATAGTATATATATATATATATATATATATATATATATATATATATATATATATATATATATATATATATATATATATATATATATATATTTTATAAACTTATAATCATATATTCAAAAATATACATATATTATGATAGATAGGTACTATATTCGATAAATGTATTGATAATATTATTAAGAATAACTAACGAATTATTTTCATAAAAGTTCATATAAAAACTGAATTGATATTTATCTTGACTTGCTATTTTAAAACAAGTGCTAAGTATATTAAAATTAAAATACTTCACATTCTTGGTACTGGTAATTTGTACCTCTTAATTATCATACGCGTCACTCTATACATTAGACGTTGACAGCTAATCTTTCTAACATCATATTTTGAATGCTATTATAATTATAGTTAATTCAAACATTTGCTTTTTATCAAAGATTACCTTTACTATTTAAAATCGCTTTAAATATGTGTTTAAAGCTATACATATGTTTGTCCGTTACTTTGCTTATGTTTAGTCCATAATCTTTACATAATATAAAATGAAGGCGCTTCCGCTGTTTCGCTTAGATCTTTTAAACTACTCAACGGATTTTAATGCAGTTTTCACCAATAGATAGAGTGATTCTGTAGGAAGGTTTATATGTAGAATAAATGCGTATTATAGTACAGAAAAGCCGAGAAATTCAAATATTTGTATTTAATACTAAACTTCAAAATGTACCTAGGGACGAACCCGAGCGAAGCGAGGGTGAGTCGCTAGTTACCAAATAGGTATAATTAAACCCTCCCACTGGTTCTAGGCACCTTTTATATGATTAAAATTAAATTAAAAATTCTAAAAGAAATAATTTTAAATTAAAACACGTACTATCTCATCGAATTTAAATCTATATTAAAATTTCCACGTGGAATAGTCGCAACTCGCAACTCTCAATCATATTGTCGATTTTTAGGCCTTAAGCAAGCTCTTTTGTGATTTGTCTTCGATAGACACGACGTGTAATTTAAAGGTTATAGTATTTTCAGTCTAAGACGTAGTTCTAATGGAAATGGTTTAAAGGGATTATTTTTCAACAAGAGATGTATTTTTACGTTAAATTACTATTTTAGCAACCAATTGGCATTGTTAGTAGATAGTACAAAATACAAACTTTAATTGCATATATTTTGTAAATAATTTAATTATTCCAAGCTAAAAGACATGTCTGTTTCAGATCCCGCGAGCAGTAATCGAACCTATACTCTTTGTGACTTTGATATTCAATGTGGCGGGTCTCCAAGGGGGTTTCATGAACTGGCTTGGATTTTGCTTCGTTTGCATTCTTTGCGCTAACTACGCGAATGCTTATGGTAAGTATGCAAGAGGATTTTTTACTAAGTTTCCTGTTGTCCATCTGTCCTTTTACAGCCTATTTCCTACGAATCTAGTGCACAAAAAACATGTATGGCAGAGTGAGATAACACAATGATGACGATGATGTATGAATACATATACTCGTATTGTGAATAAGCGAATTTTTACTTTAGGGATTAATTTTAAAAAGGTCACTATACAAAATAAAAGGACACCTTTTTTATGTGCACTATGTGGTGTAATATATAAATAATAATAATAAGAAAATAATAATAATAAGAAAAATACAACAAAACTTCCTAATTCCTATAATATTTTTCACGCGATTCCAACTTATACTTGACCATTTCTATTCATCGCGGCTTCGATAAGAGCATAAGAAAATGCATATTAAGCATATAAATATTTGAAAAACAATAATAATGTTCTCCTGACCGATTCCGGCCACGGCGGCCAATCTCATTGAGACTAGCCAACTGCGCAGGAGATATTATAGTGCACAAGTGTACGCGCAGACACAGGTGCACTCTCTATTCCTGTCACTCTCAATTCTCAAAGTCCGATGGGATACTTCGACACGACGGGTGAGAGTTAAGGCGCAGGACCGACGTCGAGGACAGACTTTCCGTGCTCTTCGAGACACGTGAGAGACACACTTCCAACTTCAACTACTACTACTGATGATATCTTAACAAAAACTCATAATTAGACTTGACCCGAGACTTGAACCCAGGACCTCCGGATTTGCAGCCGTACATACTAGTTACTAAACCACCGAGGCAATTCACTAGTAATATTTCGACAGATAATGGAAAGTTCTGAGTGATATTAAGCTTTTGATTGCTATAACGAACACTTTTCGTGATCTGTTTTCGCGTCGGGAAGTAGACTCATGTAGCATTATTTACCGGTTAACAACGGAAAACGGTAAAAAGTAACTGGTCGGCCAAAATTTCATATTTCAATTCTGAAAAATGATAAATTTTTCGCCCATATTTTATCCGTTCAGGGATTTCAAATCCCTTTGTCATAAAATCTCATTCGTATGTTTATAAATCCACCGGTTATAGCTGTGTGGCGTCTGTTAAAGCCTGTTTAGATTTTAAAAAAGAGATTTAAAAAAAAATCTTTACAGTTTTCTCTTTCAATATTTTTTAAACAGTTCCATACTAGGTTCAAAAAAAATTAGGAATGGAATACACTAACAAAAATAGTTTTAAAGTAAATGAGATATAGAAGCAGATAAAATAAATCATTGATATAATAATAGATAATATAACATTTAATAAATTACATATTTTCGAGATTATTCACACGACGCGAATTTTAAAATAAAAAAGTAGTTTTTATCTGTGGAATATATTAGATTCTCATGACATTGTAAAGGATAAGCTAATCCAATAAAATTAGCATTTTTACTCAATTTGAAATTATATTTCTTAAAATTTTCCTTACTTTATCTATATTAAGATTTTAGTATTTTATTTCGTTGAAATGTTTTTTATGCCAGTTCAGCACAGATTACTTCGCCAATATCACGTAGAATGGGAAAGACAATATGGAATGTTTTTTTTTTAAATACAAAAGCTACGCATATACTCTTTTCAATCCGGTATAAATACCGTCGTTTAACAAATCGTTTTAATAAATGGGAAACAACTTGAATATTGACAGTAATAAAATTGATACATACAAATTACTTTTAAGATAAGCTATTCGTATATCGTTATAGTGAAAGATTAAGATTAAATTTTATTAACTGGAATAATTCTTAAAAACTTGTTTACTTCGATCCTTTTTCGTTCAGATCACGCTATCTTTAAAAATGTAATACATACTTGAAATGTCATATTCCACTTGACGGTAAAACTTAATTACGTTGAAAAAAGTAACTGTCACTGTGTCTCGAGTTCGGCAACACTTTCACAGCTTCTTCGCATTTCTTGTAATCATTAAAATTGTAGTTTAAGAGAAAGAAATAAAATAAATTGTATTTTAAATATATTATTAAGATTATTTTTGCAGTGGTCGTTATTGTTAAGGCTAAACTGGATTATAATTTTTATACAGTTATACTCGTAGAGCAAAAATTATCTACAGAAAATAAATATATTAATTAGTATGTATATTTTTACAAAAATGGCCTAACTCATACTGCCGTCATAATGAAAAAAGGCCCTTACTAACAATTTGGTCAAAAATGACTTAAATGCAGATTCGGAATCAGCAAAAAAAGCTACGTAAACGTTTTACTCATAAAGCTCTAAGTCTTATGAATCCGGAGACACCATAACCATTTTCATTGTAACTACGTCAAAACTATTACCACAGATCATATAATACTATACTACTACTAAGAACTAAGACACAACTTCAAATATCTCGAAATCAACTTTGACGAAGTTGCGGCCTTCTTTTTTATGACGGCAGAATACTTGTCATAATATAACACCTTTAAAATGTAATGGAACAAACGTACATACTACATATATTATTCTGCATATTCGAAAACAAGTGTTCATAATTAATATTTTTTATTATATTTGTCTTTTCATTTCAATTAATTAATTTTGGTTATAATTAACTTTAATATATAATTTTGTTTTAGGCTCATTTTTATCAGCTGTTTTTGATAAAATGGAGACAGCAGCCCTCGTGTCGGTGCCCTTCGATCTTATTGGGACGATGTTTTCCGGCATTTATCTTAACTTAGGCAGTGCTTCCCCATACATTTCCTGGCTAAAATACGTATCAGGGTTCTACTACGGGATCGAATCTATATCAATACTTCAATGGGACTCAATAGAGTCCATCAATTGTGTGAGTATTAAAGGCATGCCCTGCATCAAGACCGGTCCGGACGTGTTAAGAAGGTTCGGTTACGCTGAAGAAAACTTTTGGAGGAACTGTATATGTTTGGCCGCGATGTATTGTATCGCACATACCATAGCTTTCCTTATGGTTATAAAAAGAAGTAGAGGGACGCCTGTTTATTAATTTTTACAGTTGACAATTTTAATATTTAATCATGAACGAATTAATTAGTCCATGTATTTTTAGAGAGTGTGTCGATTCGGCCAAAGGTAAAAGTTTATAGATACGGCTTTGATTAACAGGTGATCAATTCAATAGGCAAAATGTTCGAAATATTTGGTAGATATCATGCTCTCTTATTGCAAAGGAAATACGTGAAGTTATGTGACAATTTTGTGTTCACTGTTATATTTTACTAGTTTCAATATTAATGTAGACAATAATTTTGAATATTTCTGTAATTGAGCTTAGGTGTATTTGTTGACAGCTCTGAAATACGTGTCTTGCATGTTATGAGTACATAGAGATTTTTTTATTGTGTAAGAAAATCGTGGCCAATAAATGAAATGAATGAATTTAAATAGTTTTAGGGCTATTATTTTTTATTAAATACATTTTTTTAAATAAAAGCTTTTTATTTACCTCGTACCTTGTACTTACTTGTACCTTGCCTTTTTTTTTTTTTTTTTTTTTTTTTTTTTTTTTTTAACGTTGGGAAATGCATTTACGCACGACGTGTGGGACTCACCGGCGTAATACAGCCAGTACTACCCACTAAAACCCAACAAAACCTTCCCCCGTCTTAATGGGGCGTCGCAGGATCGCTTACGCATTCAACTACGACGCCCCGACGGCAGGTCTGCCAAAGCAGACCACCACAACCATGGGGTTACTCCAAGGTCCACTCTGCTATCAGAGAAGTACCAGCCTAATGACGTGTACATATTAAGATATCAATATCTAACTTAATAAAGCAAACAAAATATTGAGTTGAATATTCTACTTTAGCTTTTTTATTTGTCTGACGTCTGGGCAAATATATTTTTAGAACAACTGGCCAGATATTTTCTTTTAATATATGCCTTATATTCTAAATCAGTGCCCTGTGATAGTAATTTACTCTGACATTTTTTTACGTGCGATTCGTTTTTGACATGAGTTTACCACTTACTTACCTTACCGAAACCTGCATGTCTGAGAGAACGTAAATAGTTCTCAAAAGCCATGTGTAGTCTTCTAACTCGCTTTTAACCCATGCATTGACGAGAGTGTCCATTATTGGAATATAGTATTCAGCCCTTTTTAATGTCCCATTGCTAGACACGGGCTTCCTTTCAATACGAGTGCGGGTTGGCGATATTCACATGTCTTTCGAAAACTTGCTGGGTTCTCCCTGCATTTCCTCACGATGTTTTCGTTCATCGCAAGACAAGTGGTAATCATGTTAGAAATGATTCGCACATGAAAATATCACAGGTGCGAGACACGAGATTTGAACCCGCTTAGCTCGGTTTTTCAAGCGAGCGCGTTACCACTGGGCTACCTGTCATTGGAATACATATTATTATTAAACATACAGCAAGTTATTATATTTAACATTATTTTAAGAAACTTTTATTTCAATAGATTAAGTATCAAGTGCAAATGTTCATAATAACATGAATAATAAAAAAAAGTATAGGTACTTTTACAATTTTATCACAAATCTATCTTCGATTTATCGTGATCTAAAAATGTCATATTTTCATCATTTAAACTCTCGACCTAATTCCGATGACTTTGCTTAAAAAGTCTTCTATATTTTGCTTAATAATTTTTGTCTATATTTTGCTTGATAATTTAATATTCACATTTTTTTCCAATCCGTAAGTAATCAAGAGCTCGTTAAGCTTTGATGATTATTCTCAGATGTCTCTTGTAATACAATGATTGATTGAAGTACTTATAATAAATATACATATATTTTATCTTATTAATATTTCTCTCGTGCAATTTTTTTCATGTATAAATTTAAATATTTTAAAGTAAGTTTCCAATAATATTTTTTTACTGTACAAATAATAATGACATTTATTTATAACTTATGTAATCTAAGAATAATTAGTGGAACATAAGTGGAATATATTACTTCCAGTTTCCACTAGTTTTTCAGTCAAGCGTCATTCAATTTTTGATTCAAAAAGTTGAGCTTTTAAAATAAATATTAGGAATTTTTCAAACAACCTCCGTACACAGAGAAAGGAACGCGCTTTAGCCTCATATAATAAATGATGTTTTTATCACTCACCGTGATAAATGTATTTTATCGCATAGATGAATGCGTATTTGTCATACCGTGAGCCAAGCAGGTATTAGAAAAGACAAAAAATGGGCCGCTTCATTGTTTTATCTCGCTCACATTACTTTGTGCATTGCGTAACAACTTGATGAATAATAGCGTACATCGTATGTTTTAAGTTAAAACTTTTATATGCAGGTTTGGATGGGGAGTAAATTCATGTAAGAGAATTCATCGACATGGTCACGTGACGTGTTAACGCTAACACTCGAAAGTGCTGATAGATGTCAAAACTAGATAAATGTAAAAAGTTTTTATTTACAAATTTTAATTTAAGATCAAACAATCAATTTGAATATTCAAAAATAACAACTGTTTGTTTATGGTTTTAAATTTTCACCTCTGTCGGCAGTCCTCGTGAGTGCTTTTTATAATTATTATTTTTTCGAAATGTATTCAGACTCTTTGCATGTTTTACTATGAACTGTCAGGTATGACAGATTAAAGTCGGCTTACCAAGCTGGTTTTTGCTCGAGCTAAATTAAATTGCACTCCTAAGAAAAGAATTCAATTAAATTTAATCTATACTAATAATATATGTAAATGTAAAAGCTTAGATGTTTGGATGTTTGGATGGATGTTTGTAAATCATGCCAGAACAGCTGAACGGATTTGTATAAATTTTGGTACAGAGACAGATTATAGTCTGGAATAGCACATAGGCACTTTTTATCCCGAAAAAATGTACGTTTTCCGTGGGATAGATTTTTGTTTTTTTTAGAAGCGGACACGAGCGAAACGAGGGCGAGCTGCTAGTAAAAAAGAAATATAAAAAATAAAATATTCATTATTTATAGATATTTATTGTAAAACAATGAAACGTTTTTTCTGTTATTATCGTTATATTGACAGTAATTAATAAAATTTATATACACAACAAAAAATCATACGTTCCGCCAAACGTCAATCAATATATTCGTCGTCATACTTTTCCTGCCTGCCTGGCACCTGCGTAGACGAACGAACACCACAGAGATTGTACAAAGGCGCTTGATGTCTTCGAATAAACTAGCGGCACGTTACATTATATTATAATACTAGTTGCATGTTTATTTCAAACGGAGAGTTTATTTTGTATCTATGAATTAGTCAAGTAAAAGATAGATTAAGATATTTCATTAATATAATTTCCATAATTTAGTTAAAAAAAATTACATACAAATAAAAATATCAGTTCATGTTTATTACTTTAAAGTTATTAAGGTTAACAAAGAAAGCCTTTACATTTTATTACACTGTTTATTTTGAATCCTTTTTAAATGGGAGTAGCATTAATTAAAAATTATATACTTGTTACACAAACGGCTCCATGCTTGTATACAGTTGTAAAGGCAAAGAAATTGGAAGTAGATATATAACTCAGATTAAAGAATTATATAGACAGAGTCCGCCAAGATAACTGTTTAAAATAGTAGCGTCATTTGGCAGGTAGTTTAAATTTCATAATCACATAACACTCAATTTGCTCCATTGTCACGGCACTTTTCATAGAAGAAATCAAACTTACAAATTATTCCATTTCAAACTGTTTATTGTGCAATAAGTAAGAAGTCCTTCTCAAGAATTTGATAAAACTTCTATTATGCATCAAATTAAGTATAATATATACCCACATATAATTAAATTCTCAGTCGAATCTGTACATTAAATATTTTTTTGGAAAATCTTATTGATAAAGGTAGCTTATTGAAATATTATCGGTACTGAGGCTGGATCTATAGTTTTTAGAATTTTTGTCTGTCTGTCTGCGAACACATCATGAGAAAACCACTGGACAGATTTTGATGAAATTTGGTATGTCGATAGCTTGTTCTCCGGGTCAACATATAGAATACTTTTATTGCGGGAAAATATCTCATCTCTGAGAAATCTATACTAAGCGTTAAAATATAACTAGAAACGAACCCAAGCGGAGCGAGAGTGAGTCGATAGTTAACAATAATTAATAAAAGCACAAATAATAAAAGAAACCACGGCAAAAAAACGAACAAATTATTTAAATCGATTTCAAGCTCTTATTTTATCTATTGGGTTAGTTATTAAGAATATCTGCTTTTATCGTTTTAAGATCAATTCCGGTTACATTTAATTTAATTCCCAAAAAGATAAAATGAATGACGGTGTCTATCTAGTTATGATAATATGATAGATAATCCAATGAAGACTGTTTCTAAATGTCAGCTTATAGATTAGGTCCAAATATTATGTTGTTATGTTAATATATTTGCAAATTATTAATATTAAATAACAATAATATGTTAATGATGTTAATAGCATTTTATAACAGACTAGTGACTCACCCTCGCTTTGCTCGGGTTCTTACCTAGCTTGGTTCCCAATACAAACTTTCATCCCCATTTTCATCCCCTTAAAAAATGATTTCAGAGATAAAAAATATCCTATATCCTGAGACCCTGGGGTCTCAAACTATCTTCTTAACAAACATCATCTAAATCGGTTCAGTACATCTAGAGATTACCCCCTACAACGTCACAAACTCACAAACTTTACCTCTTTATAATATTAGTATAGATAAATAAAATTAAAGGGTTTGTAATGTCAAGATAACAATGCGGTAATTATGTACGGTAGGTATAAGAAAAACACATTTTTTAAATGTTTTGTCTGTCTGTCCCTTTGTTCCGGTTAATGTCCGAAACAGCTTAACCGATTTCGACGGAACTTTCACTTGCAGATAGCCGATGTTATAAGGTACTCCTTACGTCCCTTCTAAACTGTTCATAGGTTTCTAGAAACCCAAGAAAGTTCTTACTTTAATTGGAAACCTTTTAAACAAAAACAGACGCTTTTTTATTTTTATTAGTTTAAAATTATATTTTGAAAAGAGAACTATTACAAACTCGTCCTTGGGCCCTAGCTAGGTTGAATACGTAGCTGTTTTTGTTTTTATTTTTAGGGAATGCCAAAAATAAGAGCAGGCTCATCATCATCATATAGATATGTTCCAAGAAATAGTTGTGGAAAATAAGATATTTTCTTGCCAAGCAGTAGCTGATGTCGACAGATTAATAATTGAAACTGCTATTAACCTGCAGTCCGAAAACATTGTTGTAGTGTCCGTGGATGTACATAGATGATTTAGTTTTATTGACTGCGCTCTCACCAACACACCGAGAAATTTATTTACTATAACGCGACTTCAGCTTTATGCCAACGTGACAAAAATGTATTTGCCAAAAATTTCGAGAAACAAAATACTGCGACAGTTTTTAAAACGCATGCAAAGGTACTAATGACATTTTTAACGCTGGTGTTACATGAATTTTTGCTACATATATATACGCTGCCCCCCAAACAATAGAAGATCTAAATATATTAAGATATAACTCTTTATTGAAAGCTACTGTTAAAAATACCAGCGTTAAACAGCCGTCTTTACCACCTACTGCAGATGCCGCTTTTGGACACTTCAAAAGAGTATATCTGCAAATTCAAACATGGCTCGGAAAAGAAATAACATCAGAAGAATGGGGTTGGAAATATAAATGCGGAATGCTGATACCGCAAATAATGACGCATCTACCAGCTCCAGAATCCTTACTGAAAATGATTATTAGCACATGTAAATCAGGATGCGGTGCATCTTTTGGGTGCAGAAAAAGTAGATTAAATTGCACTGTAGCTTGTTTAGAATGCAATGGTTAACGGCTGTAATATCGATAATGTATTAATATACATATTAATATATGTATATTAATATGTATTAATATACATATTAATATATGTATATTAATCTGCAGATTAATATTTTTCATTTTTCATTGTAAAAGTATATAGTAATAGTGTTGCTTAGTAAGTTGTCTTTTTAAATAATAGCAAACTAAATTAAAATTATTATCCTTAATTAATTTTAACTTTTTAAATTACACATAGAACAATTATATGGCTTAAATAATTAATACTATATTTTATATTTTTCTTTATGGTTATAAATATAATAATGGCAACACTAAATATAGATTACTAATTAATATTTTTAAATTGTAATAATTATAATAATAACAGCAAAAATTAAATAAATAATATTCCAGATTCAATTATAAAACTCATTAAAATTATAAAAATGTTTAAAGTTAAAAAATATTGTAAAGTAATTTTTGCAATTCTCATTTTGTTAATTGTGGGTAGGCTGTCTGTAACAACTATATCTTTAAGACATGTAACACCTCAGTCTCTCCCGTGACCATGGATGCTGTAAAGCATTCGAAACGTCGGGAACCAAAAATCAAAATAAATCCGCGAAATAATCCGAAAAGATAGTTTTATTTAAAATGTCAAATATTCGCGTAAATCTAAGAAAGTATTATATAGGATACCTTTTACCGCGGGAAAATATCTCATTTTTGAGAAAAAATACACAAACTGCAATGTAAGAGTAACTAATATGTAAAACCTAAGAATTTGGTTTTCGGTCATCTGAACGCGGGCGGAGCCGCGGGCAATGCTAGTAAATTATAAAACTCCTATGTGCTATGGAGTAAGAAGGACCTATATTTATTTTGTGTATTCCGCAAATGAAACGTGAAGATAAAACAAATAAAAGATTAGCTTAAAATATATAAATTTGAAACTCGTCTAAATCAAATAGGTAATTGCTTTGTTCCGTATGAGGTTAAATCGACCCAACCAGCAACCCACTCATGGAGCCCACATCAAGGCCAGCTAAGTCGTAATTTTTTTTATTTTTTTTTAATTTAAAACCTTGAAATATTTAACATAAATCGACTGTATACATTTAGAAACGAATGGTTTAACAAATTGGTCAAACGGAGGAAAGTGTTGTCAAACAGCTTTTTACTAAATGCATGTAAAATTATTTACGGTACTTATAAGAAATTTTGTATGTCCGTCTATCTGTCTGTCCATCTATCTGCCTATCTGTCTGTCTGTTTGTATGATCCTGGCTAGACTGATTTTTATGGGACTGCCAGATAGCTGATGTTTTAAAAAGTAACTTTAGCTACTTTTATATTAGAAAAAGAATTAGGGTTCCGCTCCAAAAAATAAAAACGCTAGTAAATAAGAAAAATCAGGTCAAATTCGGATAATCCATAGTATGGCAAAGCTGCAGCAGACATAAGCTACAAATAAAATATTAATTAATGAAACGAAAATAAATAGAATATCTATATTATTGACATTTTTTAATATTACATACAAGAAAATTAACTCATCGTCATAAATAAAACAAAAATCAATACGCATAACCTTTATTTGCCTCTCGTTTCAAGCCATAAAACCCTAGAGCACCCCATACGATAGTAACCAATAAAATTCCCAAACTATCTTCTATAACAAAGTTGTTTGAATATCCGTTTTCTAACAACACTGCTGCTCCATTGTTGAGACAAATTGAGGTTGTATTGACTGGACAATCTGTAAGAATTTATGAGTAAATTAGATCTATGTGTGACGAATAGTAGTAGAGTGTAGGCGAGTTACATTATTCTTTTTAGGGTTCCGTACCCAAAGGGTAAAACGGGACCCTATTACTAAGAATCCGCTGTCCGTCCGTCGGTCTGTCTATGTTTGTCTGTCACCAGGTTGTATCTCAAGAACCGTGATAGTAAGACAGTTGAAACTTTCAAAGATGATGTATTTGTTTTGTTGCCGCTATGATAACAAACACTAAAAAACAGAATAAAATAAATATTTAAGGGGGCTCTCATACAACAAACATGATTTTTTTGCTCGTTTTTGATATATATTGATAACGGCAACAGGTACACGCTTGAAATATTCACAAAATATTTAGTTATATATTCACTTTAAAAATAAATAATTAAATTAAAATAAAACAAATATTTAATAAATGAACCCCTACGAACAAATCGGTGACGGCAAAATTTCAATGTGGCTAGCAATAGGTGTGGAAGTGTACAAATCTATAAACACAATTGTACTACTTGTTTCAACAATGTGTCTATCACGTGATAATCTAACATCGCTAGAAAGAGATTAAGTAAATGCAAGATTCGGCTCTTTCAGATTCGGTAATTTAATAAAATTTAGAATTTTCCATAACATTTAGCTTATGACAGTATGGCGTAATATAAAAACTATGTATATTTTGAAGTGAAGGCCTTATTATAATTAAAATACAGAAGGTAATAAATTTTATTTTTTATTGCTACTTCGTGGTAAATAAGTATTTTGAACTTTTTTACAACCTATTCTGATTTACTCACAAGGAGGATGTTTTAAAGAGGATAGAAGAACATATATGTCCATATCGTGATACACGATCGATGTACACGATGTATACATATATTATACACATATTTTTATAGTCTAGTGACTATGGATATTTTATAATTATAATACATCTGCAGCACGCAGACCCGAAGACTCCGGGTTCGCATTTCGAGTCGGGCCAAATAAAGTTATTTGAGACAGGGGTTACGTAAAATCGTCACCTGTTGTGTCTTGTGCACTATAATATCTTCTGAGCACAGGGTTTATATACATAGCCATAGTGAGATGTCTGCCGTGATTAAAATCAGTCGAGAGGTACAGTTCTAGTACAGATTATAATATATTTAATATATTTTACAAATTACTTTAAAGGAAATAACATAATATATGTATTTTAAAGTACCTAAATATTTATCCAATTGCTGTCGTAATAAAAAGAAATAACATGTAGAAGCCTTTGTAAATAATAACTGACCTCATTACATGTGTGCTTTTAATGGTCTGGTTTAAAAAGTAATTATCATTATGATATTGAAAAATACAAACTAAGTAGCATTTTTTTAAAGGTTTTAAAGTATAAAATGAACAATTTCACTGACGTCAATTGTAATATGATAATAAAAAAGTCTACAAGTTTTAATTTATTTTAAAATATAATTATTATTAAAGTAGTGTTTCTCATATATGAAATAACTCATCTTATGCCTATAGCAGCAAAAACAAACGTTTTAGACCCTTAAATTGGCCCTGAAAGAAATTTGCTTTTGGCTGATATCTCCAATCTATACCTATCTACACTTGCTTTTCAGATTTATAGGTCAAGAAGTTTTCGAGATATCGTTAGTCAATGAATGAATGAGTGACCTTTCGCTTTTGTTATATATAGTTCATTACTAACGTCTAAAATATCTCTTCCATACAAGACAATATACTAAATCTATTTACATATTCACAGAATTATTATAATTCACGACTTTGTTTGCCTTAAAAATATTTAGGATTATGAGTAAGACAATATTTTACAAACTAAATTACATAAAACGAATTAGCATATTATATGGAATCGTGGGAAACTAAAGTGGATTTCAGCTAATTTTATTGATCATATTTATTTTTGCTGTCGATAAATGTTGAAGACGCTGTGACAATTATGCTCTAATATGTCCATATATATATAATAAAATTGTAACTAAGCCGAATCTGTACATTAAATATTTTTTGGAAAATCTTATTGAAATAGACATTATTATCGATACGCTACGAGCTTACCATGGAACTAGATGGTGCTGTGTGTTAATGTCCCAACATATTTATTTATTTATATTTTTAAACTTACCAATCCATTCAATTTGTCGCCAATATATATTGCTTAAGGCGTCTAACCCATAGTAAAAGTGGGAGAAATACTTCAATGGATACAACCACAAGGGCAAGGAAGATATTCGCAAGAAAGCACCTGACATCAGGAAGAGAGGAAGATCTACACATGGCATAATATCTCCCATAATACCTGATGATATGAACAAGGCTCCCATACCAAGTCCTGAAAGAAACTAAACATAAGAGAAACTAATAATTTTATTTTATAGAAATACTAATATATTAAACTAACACTTATTTTGTCAATTTGGCTCATAACCAGGATTAACCAAAAAATAGTTAAAACTTGCAATGAAAATTGTTTAGCCTTAGAATAAAATGTGATAAGTTCAAAGTTGAACATTCAATATTTTGTGGCAATTAAATATTTTTAGGAAAATTGTTTTGCCATATAAAAAAACTCCAAAGAGAATTTTTTCTTTAAAATCTTTATAAAAACAAAATAACATAATTTTTAATACTAATCGGTTATATTTATTCCTTGAAGATTAACCTTGAACTCTCAGTCTTATGTCACGTTATATATAGCATATGTCATATTTATTACTGATTTTAAATTAATAAACTGACATGTAAAAAACATAAATAAATAAATTATAAAGAAAAGAAAAACAATTACCAAAAGCAGTAGAGGCGAAAGCAGTCACAATGAGTGCGAGCACGAACTTTAAAGCTGTAATAAATTGGTTTGGAAGCTCTACCGCTAGCGATGCTACAGCTACGTACGCTACCGGCCATATTATACAACGCGGCATCTGTTTAGATAGATATGAGATATTGAATTAAAAAAAGAGGCTTCTTAAAAAGAAACAGTGTTATTTTTTTATATATTTAATCAGAAGAAGAGGTAAGCCATACAGCAAAAGTTAAATATAAAATAATATTAATAATCAAGTTTAAAAATTTTTTAGACTGTGAGTTAAGTTTTTTTAGTAACAATCTTCTTGATGCCATGTATTTTATATATACTACATATATAGTATATATTAGGTACTATATTGCTATATTTCCGATTTGCATCCGCAAAAGCGAGAGCAAGACCGAAGATATCACGAATCTGGTAAAGGTTCAAGTCAATTGCAAAAGATATGGTAAATTAACATCTATACAGATAAATAAAATTGAAGTGTCTGTTTGTAATGTCAAAGTAACAGCTTTTTACTAAATGTATGTAAAATTATTTACGGTACATATAAGAAGAACACTATTTGTTTTAATTTTTGTGCGTCTGTCTGTCTATTTGTTCCGGCTAATCTCCGAAACGACTTTGATGGGATGCTCACTGGCAGATAGCTGATGTTATAAGAAGTAACTTAGGCTACTTTTATTTTAGAAAAAGAATTAGGGTTCCGCTCAAAAAATAATAAAACGTACCTAGGGACGCATCCGAGCAAAGTGATGGTAAGTCGCTAGTATATAACCTTTATATTTGTAAACATTCAAAGGTGAGGTCAAAGTTTAACATTAACAAATACTTGTCGAGGAGTTGAATAACTAGGCACCAGTTGTAACTAACGACGATTTATTTACAGCTCGTTTTGTCTGACTAAACCTTATTTTAAACATTTACTAACATTTTAGCATAACTACAACTTAAATAATATTTTATTTTATTAAAAATAATATTTATTATAAATGTGTCTTATACTTAATAAAATATATTATGGTTATCTTGATCTTAATCATAAGATACATGTATTTTAAGCCTTTATTTCAAACACATGGTAATAATAGGTTATGAATATTAATGATCATAAAACGACATTCTGATTTATTCGCAGATGGACGTTAGCATTTATTCATCAGTCATTAATTATGGTATATACCTCATTGATCTCATGGCTATCAGATACGACTGTGGATCATTCGTTCGAATTCGATAACAGTAGTGCTATTTTGGCTAGTTTTTAGGAACTCGATAGATGAATCAAAAGCACGAGGGACCAAGCGTCCTTAAAAAGTTTGTTTTTTCCGACTTACAAAAATATCATCATATCTTTTTTTTCCTTTAACCTTCTTAGAGAATCCTTCTTCCTATTAGTGAAAACCATATGAAAATCTGTACAGCAGTTTATGAGATAAGTCAGAACAAACACAAACTTAGTGCGGTGGGGAACATTCATTTATGATTTGTACTTAATATGTTCGCGAATTCAGCTGTTGTCGAGTTTTCAGTCGAGCAATATAAAGAAAATACTTACAAAATTTAAAAACCTGCTAACATAGAAACTGGAGGTTCTATAAATCCCAATTTCCCTTTTAAACAAAACCAAGTCTGCTTCAAACGCGTACAAGGCACCGTAGGATACACTAAAAGATACTTCAGAACACATCAACCACAGAAATCCTCTAAAATCTTGAACACCTTGTTGAGTTCTGCCAGAGATACCAATATAGCAGGTACTTATTATTAATGAAGACATTATCTGAAAATTACATATAATTTAAAAATAACAAAAAAAGCCTTCAATTTATAAAAAAAATAATCACAAATAATGGTTTAATATGAAAAAAAACATATACGTAATGAGTATTATTATATCACTTGTGATTTAAAAAAACATTAATACTTACGATACTTAGAAATAACTGAAATACATAGCTTCTTATATCCCTTTTTAATATAAGCGACGACCGCCACAGCAATAGATGAACTTCTTTTAACCAATTTCTTTGGCATCTGTCAAAATATATCTATACATATAATAAAATTGTAACTAAGCCGAATCTGTACATTAAATATTTTTTGGGAAATATTTTTGAAATAGACATTATTATCGATACAGAGGTCGAATCTATAGTTTTTAGAATTTTTGTGTGTCTGCCTGTCTATCTGTCTGTCTGTTACCGCATCACGAGAAAACCACTAGACAGATTTTGATAAAATTTGGTATGTTGATAGCTGGCTATCCGGGTCAACATAAAGGATGCTTTTTACCGCGGGAAAATATATCATCTCTGAGAAATCTATACTAAACGTTAAAACGTAACTAGGGACGAACCCGAGCGAAGCGAGGGTGAGTCGCTAGTTAACTATAATTTTTTAGTCTTCTCCATTCTACGTGACATTGGCGAAGTAATCTATGCCCAACTGGCACGCTTTGAAGTGATAACCAAAAAATAATTTAATTGAAGAAGTTTGTAAAGTTCTTCAAGTTACGCTTAGAACTGACAAGTTACATACATATATATGTACATACATCCCAAACATTACATAAGTACTTTTGTCTTAATTTAAAAATCTGCTTTACAATTTCATTGATTTACATTCACGAACTCACCCATGAAAACAAAAATTTGGAGATGCCAGTGATGACTTCTTCTTATTAAATAATACTAGGTTCGGGGCATGAATATTGTCTAAAGTCAAATCAGCCCCAAAGAAAAAACTCGCAGCCAACGGCGGCCTTTAACCGTAAGCTATTAATACTAAAGTATCAATTATAATGTTGACATTCAACAAATAAATCTTAGGTTTGCTTTAATAAATCAAATAAGACTAAGGCAAAAAAAAACAACTCGACGACGAGAAAGAGTCTTCTGTACATTAATAAAATTGTAACTGATCGCTGTCTGTACATGGAAGAAATTTAAGAAAATCTATTAATGGAACCCATAACAAAGATTTTTAGAATTTTTGTCTGTTTGTCTGTGCGTTTGTGCGCGCTAATCTCAGAAACGGCTTAACCGTTTTGGGTTCGATTTTCACTAATATATTGTGGTAAGCTTCACTTAACATTTATTATTAGTATTTGTATTGTTTCAATCGGTTCATAAATAAAAGTTTTGTCAATTTAAAGAATTACCTAGGGACAACCTGAGTCGCTAGTAATAAATTTTTCTATACAGTTAGTATGTCTATCTATAATTTAAAGAGTTCGAATTTCAATTAAGGTAAGATACAAAAGAAACCACGTCTACTAGTAATAAAGTGCACGCGTTCTTAACTGACGGCTTAGATAAAATAATATACCTACCTAGACACCATAATCCATTAGAACACTATTATAATTATTAGTTTTTCTATAATATGATTTTAGCCTTTAATTTTAATTTTTTACTCATCTTAAATATTATAAGACCAGATATATCTTTATATGTATTATAATTAAAAACATTTAACTATACACGTGCTATTGCACAATATTTCATAACTCATATATGTATAAATATATTATACAATTGTTTTTGTCCTACAGTTAAGCAATTTGCTACATAATAATCTAAGTTAATCACTTTAGGTACCTACCACGATCTCAAGCGCAACTTTAAACAAATATTATGAAATAATTCATTGACCTTTTTTTATAGACCCTGATAAAAATTTAAAACAATTTAATCCGTCTGCCTTATACGTAGATAAGCCTACGGCAACTTGTAAAAAGGAGATGGCATTCATAATAGTCACTGTAAAGTTTTTAACACATCGTAACGACATTTGATAATATATTAAAAGTAATCTATTTATTTTTAAAAGTAAAATAATTCTTCCTATTGATATTTTAAGTATTTAAGACACTTTCCTTCTATGTCGTGTTGTTCCACGATGTTAGAGTCGGTATCCTGACTCTAACATCGTAGAATCTATACATTCATAGATCAATATATATTTATTATAGATCTATAGATTATAAGATTTCATGTTATCTTTATCATAGACTGTATTGGTTAATTCAATAAAACAGTGAATGTATATTTTTACTGTATTTTTAGTTCAATGACCGGTTCAAGTATTTTTTTTAAAATGCGAATATTATTTTTAAAATAAAGCAATGTTTTCTTTGAGTAAAATTTGATAACTTCTATATTTATGGTACTTTTCTTCCATGTCTAATTCATTTGTTTCACTCTGTATATTCCTTTAAACCTCTTTAGAATCCTATAGTGTTCATATTTTTATCTATCCCTCATTTTGAATCTATCAAAATTAAGGATAGATATAAATATGAGCACAGCTATTTATCTTTTGCAAATTACTAGATATGTATGGAAAGGTAGGCTAGGCTGTACGGTGTAAAAGTACCTATGCATTATGCAGTATTTTATTTTACATTTTATAAACTTTACTTTAAATTATTATAAAATCATATTTATTTTAAGACTCAGTCGGCACAATGTGAAATAAAAATTAAGTGTAAACTTCTAAATGTAAATCGTAAAGATACAATGTAAACGCGCTACCTCGGCTGCCATAAGAAACCGGTCCTTTCGTCATCCGGCGGCGGTTTGTTTCTAACCCCACATTTATTATCGAAGTCCATGGACACGGCCTTGATGTAGAACTCAGCAGGGTTGTAATTATGTGGACAGTAGAGGTTCATCCTAATTTGACAAAAAGTATAAAAAGAGGTTTACGTTAATAAACAATACCTACGTGTTGACATATAAATGTAATGATTTACACTGAAGTTTTTTTATGAATAGCCTAATTTGATGTTTTGTCACGCACATTTTATTTGAGTTTGATAAGTCTTATGACCGTGGACGACGAGATGACGGCATATGCTCATTGGAATCTACCATATTCTCTAGAATATTCTAAATTTTTCTCTGAATCTGTACAGTTTTAAAAATTGACTTGTTTTATTGTTTATTTTGTTTTTCTATTATTTACATATCCATAGGTATAAAATTGAAGTGTAAAATTAACGATTAAATTGAGATGTACACAAAAATTATATCTACTTACTTCTCAAACATATTTTTGCATTCTTCTTGTGATCCATGAAACAGTAATTTGCCTTTAGACATCAAAGAAATGGCATTAAACTCTTTAAATAGGTCTGATGAAGGCTGATGAACGGAGCAGATGACAATTTTGCCACATACCGATAATTTTTTTAGCACATCTATAACTAGTGCTGCGTTATAGCTATCTAATCCTGTTGTTGGTTCATCACATATCAAAATTTGTGGTCTCGATAATAGCTGAAAACATTAAATTAAGTGGATTACATTATATCGGAGTCCGAGAAATAAATTATACATCGACTTATGTATATCCGAATTCTCAATAAAAATATTTTTATGTGAGAATTTCTACCCCGAACAGCTAACTAGTACCTATAGATAAAATTTATAATATTATTAGTGACGCTAGATCTTTTGATTGAACACATTAGTTACATCCCACGGTAACTGCATGATGTTACGAAACAAAAAATACCTAATTCCGACCCATTATAATGAATAATAGTAGGACTTGTTGATGAACAAACAATCTTTCATATTTATGATATTAGTAAGGATATCATTTGTACGTGGCCTTGGTTTCGTGTCTAGCGTGTAAGGACAAAAACTGTTTTTGGGATTTTCTGTTAAGTTATTCTCCGTACCAGCTCAAAGCGGTGAAATTAGTGGTGTTATACCCCCGTGCCTTAGAGAGCATGTAAAGCTGTCGGTTTTGCGCTTGATCCGATGACGTTATATTCGTCCCACCAGTTTTTGAGAGGAAAAGGAATAGAGAGTGCACTTGTATTTATACACTTGTGGACTATAGTTATAATACCTTCTACGCAGTCGGCTAGTCTCACTAAAATTGGCCTGCTTCTGGCGAAATCGGCCAGAAGGCATTTATTAAGAATATCACATAGTAATAATTTATTTACCAACGTGGCCAAGGACAGCAGTCTACGTTCGCCTCCCGAAAGCGAACTGATTGGAGAATCTTCTAAAGTTTTCAACTTCAATTCATGTATTAAAGATTTCAAGATAGATTTGTGTGTAAGGTTTTTGACGCTGCCCAATTTCATTTCTGTCTAGAACATAATAGGAGCGTTTTATTTATCAAGTTGGTAGCAAGTGGATGAGGGAAATGATGAATTAGTCTGGACAGTAAAAATTATCAAATAAATCAAGTATGTACATATTTTTACTCTTTAAGATTTTATTATTTTTGAAAATTATCATCTTTTATTTCTGTTGATCGATGTCGATGAAATAAGTATTATCCTGACCTGATTGATCCAAAAGTGAGTTTGTATGATGTGCGCAGTCGTTATAATTCAACAGCAGACTTTAAAGCTAGTAGAGCTTCAACTGCCAGACAAATAAACAAAAATAAAATACTATCTTATCTATTGTCTATACAACCGTCAGTTTTATATAAAAATCTCCTATCCTACGTGCATTTTTTGGTATTAGTAATTTGGATCTAATCTAAAATTTAAATCTCAATAAAATATATTTTACTGACCATAAAAATTAAATGTTCCATCACATTCAAGCTGTCCATAAAAACATCAAACTGAGGTAGTATTTCCGAAAAACCTCGTAATTCCTTAACATTCGTTCCATTTATTGTGACTCTGCCAGTACTTGGTAGTGTATTTTTTCCAGCCAAAGTTACTAAATAAGTTGTTTTACCTGCACCACTAAATTAAAATTTATTTTACATGGTACAACAAGCATACATCCTGCCTTATGGCAAGAAGTACGGGTCATTGCTTTCACACGCATTTTGTGACACGTCTGAGGGTGTGAATGGAAAGGATAAGAGAGAGGTATAATCTCCGACTATCACTCGCCGAACGGAACGTTATATTACAAATACTTTACATTAATATTATTCCGGTCGAACTGGCTTATTCATGTTAACATAAAGGGCTCTACTTTATAAAAAATATATAGAACATTCAATATTTTCATAAAATATTGATAAAATATCATGTTCAAAAGGACAAAGGACCAACTATTAAATATATAGCTCACCTTGGTCCAATAACAGCAATGAATTCTCCCGTTTTCATATGAACTGAAACTTTTAATTAATATTATTTATTAAGGCAAATATTGAATAAGATACAATTTAAGATAAAAATCAAGGATCCCCTTTATTTAAAAAAAAAACAATATCAACTTTAAACTGTAAATTGTATGATCTGTATAATCAAAATGTAAATAATCATTTAAAATTAATATTTTATAATATACTAACTACAAGAAGTTGCAAATTACTAAAGGTAAAAATTATGGACACGATTTGTTCATTTTAACCATTAAAATATTAATATTTCTATAATATTCTATATTTTTAATAAAACCATGTATAATAAAAAAATACACTGATCTGGTTCTGAGTAATGAACTTAATCATACAGACAAAAATCCAAAAAACTGTAAATATTCCTTAGTCTTCTAATATTTCCCTTCCATCAATTCAGAATTTGCAAAACAGCACACAAGCTCTGACCTCGTTATATTCAGCCCTTTTTAACGTCCCACTGCTGGGCACGGGCCTTCCTTCAATATGAGGGGGATCAGGCCATAGTCCACCACGATGGCCAAGTGCGGGTTGGCGGACTTAACATGTCTTTCGAAAACTTGCTAGTTACACGTTCAGGCTTAATCATGTTGGAAATGATTTGTACATGAAAATATCAGAGTTGCGAGACCTGAGATTTGAACCCACTTCACTCGGTTTCCCAAGCGAGCGCCTTACCACTGGTCTACCACTGCTTTGTTACTATCTGACCTCCTTACAATAGTATACTTAATATAATAATAATAATTTAATATCTATCCTATCAACAGGAATAAACTCATAAATCGTAAGTTCTCATTTCCTGTATACTTACTGTTGTTTAATATAACTTCTCTAGGCTTAGTTGGATTACGTCTCCACCATGACTTTTCTTCTGGAGTCCAAACTTTTAAATTCTCAACTTTTATTATAACATCGTGTGTAGTTTTTTTAGTAGCCTGAAATCAACGTTGTTTAGTTCACATTAATTAAAGTACCAACAGTTTTTATAAGACTTATCTATCTATACATAATTATAATAAAATTTTGAGTCGATCTGTACATGAAGTATTTTTTGGAAAATCTTATTGAAAAAGTCATTATTAATAATACAGAGGCTGAATCTAGTTTTTTGAATTTTTCTTTGTCTGTCTGGGAAGAAAACGAAAAAACCACTGTACAGATTTTGATGAAATTTGGTGTAATGACAGCTGGATATCCGGGTCAACATACAGGATACTTTTTACTGCGGGAGAATATATCATCTCTGACAAATCTATAGTAAACGTTAAAGTTAACAGGGAAGAACCCGAGCAAGGGGGAGCCGCTAGTTATTGATAAACTTTTGTTTTGTTGTACATGTAAATCAGCACCTATTAAAAAATTAAATATATAAAACAAACAGAGCCGATTAATATTTAAATGGATTTTTTAAACAGCTTCTTTATATTTTGAACATGTATATTACATACATAAAATGGAATATTAATAAGAAAGGCCCATATTAAGTTAATTACTTAATAAAATTTGTCAAGTACAAGTCGATCTTTTTATGTACGAGTATATGGAGTAAAGCTCAGTATATTATGAGTGTTTGATAACTAAAGGTTTCTTGTCATTTTCTTAATAATATAAAAATAAAAAGAAATAAAATAATAAATAACAGTAAAAAGGTTAATTATGTATTTAGGATTGAATTAATGGATTTTTTATTTGAAAGTCATGAGTCTGTCACTAACTCTGAAAAAAAAACCAAGTGGGACAAAAATCTTATTAAAATATAATTTTAAAAAAGTTACTTTATCTACGTGAAATATTTGAAATAACACTTTTTTTAAATCATGTAGGTATCTATTGCGTAACAAAGTTAACACGCAAACGTTCTTTGTTTCTAAATCTCATCAAGAGTTTCATTTATTCGTCAAAGGTTATGGCATTTAAATATCAAAGTCAAACTTCGAAGTAATATAATGTATGTAGTCTATACTAATATAATAAAGAGTTAAAGTTTGTGAATTGTGAGTTTGTGACGTTGTAGGGGGACATCTGTGGATCTACTGAATCGATTTAGACAAAATTTGGTAAGAAGATAGTTTGAGGCCCTGGGAAGGATATAGGATACTTTTTATCCCGGTAATCATCCCTTAAGGAGGTGAAAATGGGGATGAAAGTTTGTACGGGGAATCTTGTTATATAAACTGAATACATTATTCGTTAGTGTAAACCTATTATTTAGTGCAAGAAATAATATTTATCATATAGCAGTAAGTTCTACAACGAAAATTTATAGAGATTCAAAACATTTAAAAACATATCAAATTATTCAAAGTAACATATTAAAAGCCAATAACTTATTCAAATACAAAAGACTGAAAACTGGCTTAAAGACATTTAGATATAAGCTACTATGAATGAAGTTGTTTTTCACTTTCGTTGTATAACAAATGTTTTTGTCTTTTCTCTTCTCTAATGGGAGTTAAATAATTGTGTTAATGTATAAATCAAAGGCTTTACAACCAGCTTAGTTTTACTTTGTATATATACATATCTAATTAACATAAATAATGTACAACAGCTAGGTCTTAGGTTCGATTTTCGCCTACGTACGCAAAATGCATTCTTCTCTACGTTGAAGCCGTAGCATAAATAACCAAACAAACTGACATACCTCTATTTAATCTATTCATTTATATGTTCTAAAAAACATAGTTTTAGTGTATTTTTGCGTTGTTCTAAAATAATAATACTATTTATATTTTATTAAGTTTAGTGAAATATTTCTTATGCAAAACTATTTTGGTATAGTTATTAACCAACATTTATATTTTATTCCCATAAGTAACTAGTTTTTGTCTAGCTCGAAAATAATTGACTCAAAACTGACTTATGCCATAACACGTGATGTGAAAAATGACCTCTAACACCTTGCTTAAAGTGATAATTATGCTGTCTATCACGAAGGTGTATTTTGATAATCGATTAAGAGAGATGAGCCAAAGCTATATAAGTTTTATATCTCTATATACGAATTTGTCCATGTTTCATTCAATAATTTTTATCATTTTTTGTGTATGGGTTTTTTTTATGTTAGTATATTAGCGAATCATCCTCGCTTCGTTTGGGTTCGCATACAAACTTTTCATCATCATTTTCACCCCCTTAAGACTGACGATTGATGACCCTAAGATGACTTTCGGAATAAAAAATCCTATATCCTTCCCAGGGTCTCAAACTATCTTCTTACAAAATTTCATCTAAATCGGTCTATGAGTTGCGGAGCTTATTCGGTACAAACAAATAAACAAAAAAATCCTTCCTCTTTATAATATACATATGTTAGTATTATAAAAATATGAAGCTACTAGCGGCTCAACCTCGCTTCGCTCGAGTTCGCCGTTTAGAATAACACTAATAGAGATCTATTAGTTCCCACGGGAACTGTTTATTTCTCCGAGATATATCTATTTATTATATCATTTTATATATATTTTATATATAAAATGTGAATGTAAAATTTTTCTAAAGTAACACCTAACCTCACCTAATTGCATAAGTTGTTGTGTACTAAGCTGTATAAGATATTATAGTTTTTTAACTTTGCCATGGGAACTATTTAATTTTCCGAGATAAAAAGATCTGAGATGTTGCCCGGGGATACTTATATAACCTTAAATACCTTAGTTGGTACCTTAATTTTGCATGGTGGTCCATGCAAAATTTCATTTAAATCGGTATAATAGTCTCGGAGATTAGTCGATCAGTCGACCGATCAGTCGATCGATCAGTCGACCGATCAGTCGACCGATCAGTCGACCGATCAGTCGACCGATCAGTCGACCGATCAGTCGACCGATCAGTCGACCGATCAGTCGATCGAGCAGTCGACCGATCAGTCGACCGACCAGTCGACCGATCAGTCGAACGTCCAGTCGACCGATCAGTCGACCGATCAGTCGATCGATCAATCGACCGATCAGTCGACCGATCAGTCGACCGATCAGTCGACCGATCAGTCGACCGATCAGTCGACCGATCAGTCGACCGATCAGTCGACCGATCAGTCGATCGATCAGTCGGTCGATCAGTCGATCGATCAGTCGATCGATCAGTCGATCGATCAGTCGACCGATCAGTCGACCGATCAGTCGACCGATCAGTCGACCGATCAGTCGATCGATCAGTAGATCGATCAGTCGACCGATCAGTCGATCGATAAGTCGACCGATCAGTCGACCAATCAGTCGACCGATCAGTCGATCGATAAATTGGTTTACTAATAATAGTATAAACTTACTTATCGTATACATAGCGTTGCTAGAGGCTAATAGGGTTAATTAAAATTTTAATAAAATTAAGAGGAATAATTCTCTAATACATTGTTTTCACATAAGTTTATTAGTTTACGCGACGCACGCCAATAATTTTCCGACATCTTCAACATCAGCCAATTTACACAAAATATTAATGTATCATACACCTAAACCTTCCTCATGAGTCACTCCATCTATTGGTGAAAACCGTATGAAAATCCAAAAAGTATTTTTTGAGCTTATAGTATTCAGATAGACAGACAAAGAGACTAAGAGACAGAGATACTATATTTTAAAAACATACTTTCGATGGAAATCGGGAAAGTTCTCCTTAATCAAAACATTACTTCAAATAACGAAGATCTTCTTTAAAACATTTGATTAAGTATTTATTCTATATCTATAATAAAAAAAGTTATGACATTTCCAAAATTGTTGATAATATGACCAATAAACATGACCTACCGATTTAAATAATTTTTTTAATATAAAAAACTACTTTTTGTGACTTAAATACTACTTTGCAAATCCGACTACCACGAAAAAGCCTTTTCATTCTTCGGGTTAATTTATATAGCCTATGACACTCAGAAAGAACGTGGCTTTCTATTGGTAAAAGAATTTTGAAAATCGGTACAGTAGATCCAGAGAATACCCCCTACAACGTCACAAACTCACAAGATCACAAACTTTACCTCTTTATAATATTAGTATAGATATGAAATGTTGGCTGAACGATCGTAATATTTATTAAGTATAGACTTGAATGTAATTTCTTCCTCCTTTTCTTTTTCTTTTTTTTTAATCTTTATTTTAAAAGGGGTTTGGTCACAAAGTGGTCATGCCACCCCTATAGGAACAACTAAACATAAGGAATACAATTTCCAATAATCAACCTTATAAATAACATAAATTAAGTATTTCTATGTCTTAATCCGACTTGTACTACTTTATACAACATTCTTGACTGATTCGATATAGGATCGGCCAGAATGCTGTTAAAAGCTCCTATGTCTAATAAATTTATATTAAATCTCAATAAAAAAATTCTTCTTTCCGCTTCATTTCGGACACATTCAGCTAATATATGATGTACATCCTCAATTTTATTACATTCTGTACAGTCAGATGACACCGCCTTACCCATTAAGGAGGCAAAACTATTCAATGGAATGTGACCGGAACGAAGCCTCAAGGCTGTTATGATTTCGGACCTACTCATATTGGCACCAATAAACCAAGGTTTACGACATAAATTTGGCTGTATTGTCTTGTACCATATTCCTTTTGTCACAGATCTCTCGTCAAAGTATTCTTTCCACTGTCTGTAACCATTCAGTTTAACAACACTTAAGACCTCTGTGTAGTTAGATAAGCACGCAAAAGGAACACCGTCAACAGAAGCTTCCTTCGCCAAACAATCAGCTATTTCATTGCCATCTATACCAATATGAGAAGGTATCCATTGTAAAGACACTTTTTTATTAGGTGATGTAAATTATATATATTTTTTAAAATGTCATAGGCAATAGGTAGTCCCCTAAAACTAGGATTAGTACATCTTATTAAATGTTGGAGAGCGCTTTTTGAGTCTGTTAGAATTACAAAATAATTTAAATTAATGCTACTAATATATGTTAATGCTTCTC